GATGGTCACCGAATATGCAGATAAGAATCGGGGTTACGGAAGAAACAAAATGGAACCCATCTTACAAATACTTGGAAATAAATCAATGACGATGTGTGAAGAGATAAGTAACGATGAAAATAAGTGACAAAGACACACTATGCATGTTATATGTATTGGTGTGTTAAGCCTCACTATTTCGACATGGTTTTTGGTGAAGGTGGTTACCGGGGTAGAACCCAACAGGCGTTATAACCGGGAACGGGTACGGAGCTCCTTTCCTGACGGTACGCCATACGTCAGAAAAACCTTGTCCGTTGATTCAGAGTCCATTGTCCCTGTCTACAAAACACGGGACGTGGTCCCCAGAAATATTCCACAGTCACCGTCTAAACCTCGCCTTTTTGACATCATTGTTAAAGTATCGTTTGGTAAGTGGTTGCATGTGTCGTAATGTCAAATCATTTATGCGGTATAGTTTAAATATATATCGAGAGATAAATCCTTTTTGTGTCATAGGTTTATATAAATATGTTACAAAGAAAATTATCTTTTTTTATCTGCCGAACTTTTTCATAGTGTGAAAAGTGAACAATCTTATTTATGAGCAACTGGTTACAATACATGTGTTGTGAGAAAATATTTTATGCGACATGAACGAAATTAATGCGTCGTGAAGTGCTGTCGATGTCACTTCGTGCATTGATAGATGTGTAAATGATTTGACAGAGTTGTGTGAAGTACGGAGAGGAAAAGATGTGAATGTGTGGGAGTAAATTATATAAATCTATACGCACAAGCTGTATCGTGGACGACAATGGAGTTGTCGCCGGTTAAGTGACGTAAACGCTCCGTTTCGTTTCGTTTCATTTTTTTAACCTCTCTGATCCAGGCACTACCTATATAGCGCTCTATGCATAACGCATTAAAAAGGTACCAAATAAACACTATCAATTGACTTCTCCATTAAATCATTCTTCGGACTTTTCCAGACTTGTTCCATCATGATTCGTTTATCTAGACGGGCCTTTAATACGACTGAATGTTACTCGGACCTATAACAGGAACCCATTTACAACTGGACTTGTTTGATGTTGGGTTGTACGTTTTAATCCAGACTGCATCCCCCTGTGAATAAAACAGGAAATGTTTACATCTGATTTGTCTACTCGTCTAAATACAAAATATCTAACACAAACATAAGGTGTAGAGCTCATATTATTTATAACTACAATTACAAAAAGTTCTTGTACTGGTATCATTCGGTCCTGGTTTCATTATCTCGCCTTCAGCAGAAATCTCACAATATCACAGAATTTATATAGGAATCCAAACATATACAGCTTGTTGACAATTTACAGTCTTTAATTCTTATACAAACACTAATTTGAAAATAAGACACAATTTGTAACACATATATAAAATCTAGAAAGTCGAATCAGAAAGTCATACTAAGTCAATATTCATACTAAACCATATGGTCATCTGTGGTAGCTACGGTCAGAGGGATGAAAAGCCGTGTTTTCAATTTCCAACTTTTATAATGAAATGAAACGAATGATGGCGGCGCCTAGCTAACCTGTTTGCAGCGGGGTTTTCTCTTTTTTTGTTTTGTTTTGTAGGTTTACGATAAAAGGGGTAGTGTTAAACTACCAGTTCCTGATATATATGTACAAGGTGCAACCTCGGGCTCTGATTGTTCTTATGCTGATATAAACGCCCTTGTGACTTAAGACTTTTACTGGGGACAGGAATTGAAGACACTCCTTTTTAAAATCAGAAGTCATGTTATCAGGGAAAGGCACTTCTACAAAGGATCGGCAGAAAATCAAATGAAGTATTAATAGAAATGAGCATGAGCTCGTCCCATGTATCCTGTGGCATATTATCTCATTTTCCGTGTAACGTTCTGCATCACGCTATGCTGTAACTACACACTTAGAGCTATTTAAGCAGAGCTTCAATCCGCGGAATAATTTCATTAACTTGTTTGTTTCAAATAGCTACTGATTATTACTTCTTGTTTCTAATTATGTAATGAACTGGAATAAGTGTTTGACTTTCAGACAACAAGCACATGTTGTTCAGCAATATGTACATATCCTGTATTGCAATTGAGAAAATACTTGTAATATGTAATTAAACGGAAAGAGTTTTCTATAAATCTTTACATTGACGACGCCATGGGGCGGAAGTAAAATTAGCCAGCTACCTTACACCTACTGAGATAGTGGTGAAATGACCGTAACCTGCGCATACATAAGATAACGTGAGATCACACCAAAAACGGCCCGATACACTATACACGAATAACAACATAACTGATTAAGTACTCTCCACACAAATAGACATGATATCCTACAAACTGGGGACGGAATAAACAGGCAAAAGTGACCTGGTATCCTTTACACACTGACGACGCATTGAGACGACAGCTAAAGTGACCTGGTATCCTTTACACACTGACGACGCTGTGAGACGACAGCTAAATTGACCTGGTACACTTAACACACTGACGACGCATTGAGACGACAGCTAAAGTGACCTGGTATCCTTAACACACCGACGAAGCATTGAGACGACAGCTAAAGTGACCTGGTATCCTTTACACACTGACGACGCTGTGAGACGACAGCTTAAGTGACCTGGTACACTTCACACACTGACGACGCTGTGAGACGACAGCTCAAGTGACCTGGTACACTTCACACACTGACGACGCATTGAGACGACAGCTAAAGTGACCTGGTATCCTTTACACACTGACGACGCATTGAGACGACAGCTAAAGTGACCTGGTATCCTTTACACACTGACGACACATTGAGACGACAGCTAAAGTGACCTGGTACACATCACACACTGACGACGCTGTGAGACGACAGCTAAAGTGACCTGGTACACTTTACACACTGACGAAGCATTGAGACGACAGCTAAAGTGACCTGGTATCCTTTACACACTGACGACGCTGTGAGACGACAGCTAAAGTGACCTGGTATCCTTTACACACTGACGACGCATTGAGACGACAGCTAAAGTGACATGGTATCCTTTACACACTGACGACGCATTGAGACGACAGCTAAAGTGACCTGGTACACTTCACACACTGACGACGCATTGAGACGACAGTTAAAGTGACCTGGTACACTTAACACACTGACGGCGCTGTGAGACGACAGCTAAAGTGACCTGGTACACTTCACACACTGACGACGCATTGAGACGACAACTTAAGTGACCTGATACACTTCACACACTGACGACGTAGGGCAAAAGGCGCCTGAGTTACTGCATACTGTGATGAAACTTTGACAGTAAAATTGGTTTGATACCTCTGTGGTAATATTTACCCGTGTTTTAAGAAATACTCCTTATTATTCGGTAGAGTGTTAGATAACACACAGATTATTGTTTCATTGAAAATTGCAAAAATCAAGGAATATCGGCGAAGTAGAAGGAAAACTTGTTTCCATGAAAAAACACAAATACACATAGGGAATATTTAGCAATATTATCAGTGTCATCTGATAGAGTGAGAAAGCAGAGTTTGACACATAAAGATCTTCGGCTCTAATATACACAGTGTTTGCTTACAATAAAACAAGAGAAATGGTAAACATACCACAATCTTATTTTTGGCAATCCATCTTTATACCATTTTGAGCCAGTTAATGAGTTTGTGTTTACAAAATGTGGCAGGTGAAGAGAAATTGTATACTTGCTTGTAAAGCAGAAATTGGCGTCCTGCTGGGCAGTCGTTTCATTGAGACCTGAGAGATAACGATTATGGCGGTGTTAGCGTTAAGCTGGCATTTGTCTTCCTACAGTTAATATGAAATATACACTTCAAGTTAATGTCGGTAAAACTATTGAGTGCATAATAGATAGATCCGTCTTCGTAATTACATCGCCAAATACTTGGGAAAATAGACACAATTTATACACAACGTACTCCAGTGTACTACAGTTTTGTCTAATATGATCGTATAACATACTAATGACTTTACCGAATGCGTATAAAAAGTTCAAATAATTTGAAACTAAATGTATTCTGATGACACTGCAAACAAACGTATTTGTCGAATAGTTGTGTGTTCCGCCATCCACTCCCCCTCCTCTAAGGATGTATAAGGATACTAAATGTATTCTGATGACACTGCAGACAAACGTATTTGTCGAATAGTTGTGAGTTCCGCCATTTACTCCCCTCCTCTAAGGACACGAATGGAAACCGGTTACATAAAAAAGGTACTTGGATTATGTGTGACAGATTAAAATAATAAAATAATGATAGTTACATTTATTTAACATTTGCTGTAGTCTGTATGATTCATAACACGGGACGATCCTTAATACATATGTTATATAACACTTGAACAAGAAGTTACACAATTCCGGTATCGTGTTCAATAAGAAGGACTTTTGTTTGCTGGTTTTTTTGTTTGGTTTTTCAGAAGTGAAATACAAATACCTTTTTTCTCCGTTTTAAGAATATTTGAATGTTTGGAAAGATATTCATGCCTCTACGTTAAACCGTCAAATTAATGGTTATGTTTTTGCTGTGTATCAATGACTATTTCTGCAAAATGCATCTGTCCCTTTCAACATCTATCCTTACACTGTGTCATGTGTTATTCATTGGAATGTTGGCACGGTACAGGATATACACACTGTATTGAAAATTGTGAAAATCTATGTGAATTTGTAGGGTAATAGCACCTTGACCTATTTTAGTTTTCTTTAGTGGCCTCTAAGGTTTCAACAAGTTTGTCCTGTAGCTTCTTTGACGAGTTCTAGAAGCTTGGAAAGGTGAAGACTGACGTTCATTTCATTATTCACTTTCATTTTTCTCATTCAAATTGTGTTATAATGTGCTTGTAAACTTATAATCTTTTGTTCTTAATGAATACCGTAAACCCTAAACGTTTTCTATTTATCATCCAGAATATCAACCATTAATAAAGGACTCTCGAAGTTATTACTATGTTTCTAACTCCTTAACGTTGCTTTTGAAGGTGGCCCGACCCCCGTTCTTGTGTTAGATGTGATGCCATACCCGGCCCGGATCTATCAGAATGCGCCCCCAAACACACCGGTGCTGACAGTGACGGGCTATGACAATGGGACTGGGGGCCCCCTAGACGAGCTGAGACTAACTCAACCGGAAGAGTCGTCTTATTTCAAACTACACAGGTCGACGCATTTGAGTTGGATTTTAGTCACCCGTCATTATATAGACCAACCGTTGAACTACACATTCCATTTCCGGGTCTACGGTTCAGTCGAGGGTGTCATACGAGATAAGGACATCGTCATCGATGTCGTAGAAGAAAACTTGTTTGCGCCAACGTTCCAACATGCCCAATACGACTTCTTGGCTTACCGCAAATCGTTTGAGAAGGGGATAGAGCTCCTTGGGACAGTGCATGCTGTCGACAATGACACTCAGATCTATAATTCTTATTTCCAGTATCGTATTCTGGATAGAGATGTGCGTCCATATTTCAACATAACGCCAAACACAGGAAAAATCATGATTGTAGGATCATTTCCAGACAGCATTAGCCAATATACATTCACTGTGACGTCCATCGACTCCGGTTCGCCACAGAAGCAGAGTACGACTCGTGTTCGAGTCAACATGACCGACGTACCACGTAAGTAGTGCTCATTTACAGTTTGAAATCTTGTTATCACTCATTAGTATGAGGAAGTTTTACGATTGTTGTTGTAATCTCATAGAGACATCTGTTGATTCCGTTGCTGTATACCTTGTTCACACTGCTTACTTGGATTGACCAAGGTTTAGATCATGGGTGTCGTCGATGAAGTAGAAGTTGCTTACTCTTCCGGAACACGTGGCCTTATTAATCTTGTTCTTTTTCAGGAATTTCCGTGTAAATCTTTCTTTTGTCCATATTTTCCCTAGTGTTATTGAGTTTTAATTATAATTATGTTCACATGTTTCAAACCCATCCCAAGATAGGTTACTGAACATTTGTAAATACAATAAAAACTTAAAGAAATGAATCATCAATGTACATTATAGCTTCCAAGAAGACACATCATCTCTGGCATTCCCCTTTCAGGTTTCAAGGGTATAGTTTTTGCGATCAACAAAAACACGGAACAATGGCGCCCTTCATTGTATAAAACATGGACACTCTGCTTCACTCATGCAACTGTCATGCATGTAATACTTACAGTGTTCGAGATGTGGATTTCCAGATTTTTTAAAAACTCGATTTTGAACCAATTCACCCTACTTGCATCGTTCATTCTAGTATCACCCATGAAGGTCTTAGACTTTCCCAGACATGGATTGCTCTTTAACTGGATGGACGAACGGAGTCCGTTTCATTACTCTGATAAGCTTTATTAGGTGGGGTGTAATTAACATTTAAGAAATCGATGTTTTTGCTTTATTTAAAGAGTAAAATACGTGTGAAGTAATTTATTTCTTGTCGAATTGATTCACAGCTAGTGAAATCCAGTTACTGTGATCGAACTGATTCACAGCTAGTTAACTCCAGTTACTGTGATCGTACATGTTCACAGCTAGTTAACTCCAGTTACTGTGATCGTACTGATTTACAGCTAGTTAACTCCAGTTACTGTGATCGTACTGATTCACAGCTAGTTAACTCCAGTTACTGTGATCGTACTGATTCACAGCTAGTTAAATCCAGTTACTGTGATCGTACTGATTCACAGCTAGTTAACTCCAGTTACTGTGATCGTACTGATTCACAGCTAGTTAAATCCAGTTACTGTGATCGTACTGATTCACAGCTAGTTAACTCCAGTTACTGTGATCGTACTGGCTCACAGCTAGTTAACTCCAGTTATTGTGATCGTACTGATTCACAGCTAGTTAAATCTAGTTACTCTGATATTTAAGTTACTCTCATATTTAAGCGACAATCTTATCTGAGCGCTTTTCGCGATGAAAATATTTCGCTTTATATAAAACCTGGGTTCTCTTCCTATAGCAAATATTTGTCATTGCTGTGATTTGTCAAAAATTGATAAAAGACTTTCGGATAATTGACTTCACATGTAAGGATACGTATTTTCATATTTACTCATATATAAGCGTGAAACATGTGCTATATCAACATTAATGTAACCTTAGTTTTTTCGTTTTCTTTTGCCATGGAAATAAGCCCACATTTATCTACATTTATACGTTAATTCAAGAAATTAACCGAAAGTCTAATTCAATTTAAATGTTTTCGAATGCTTTTTCTTTGATGCTTCCAAAGATTACTTAATTTAAATCTATTGTATGTTTTCTATATGTTATTGATTATCTTGGTTTTGTACACTCATCTCTCTACACTCGAACAAGAAGTATGTCAGGTCAGTGATGTGTTAATCACCCTCGTAAGGTTCCTATGTCACTGTATCTGTTAACATGTGCTTATAGATAAGATGTGCTTAAGAAAAATAGCCCATGATTCATGTAAACTTCAGCATGTGCGTCTGAAAAATACGGACAGTAATCTAACATATCTCTCCGGGACCTTGTTGTCCGGTATACGGTTTTTAGTTACTTGTTAATCCAAAAGAAAAAAATAAGTGAAAAATTAAAAAAATAAAGAAAGAAAAGGAAAGAAAACAAAACGAAATACCACACCAAAAAAAAAAAGGGGGGGGGGTTTAAAACAGACAGCAGTCTAATTTTTCATACACTTAAGTTTAGTGTTACGTGTACATACCTACTTGAATAAGTAACTTCCTGTCATAAAGATCTGCCCCACACCTAACAATATTGATGCATTGTCGCACTTGAGTATAAAACAGTGACCACGTTCAGAGTAAATCGAAAGGACCATAAGTAGATAAGCTTCTTATAAGTTTTAAGAGTGAAGTTGTTACGTCCTACAATAAATAACTGGATTAAGGCGTCTGGGTACCTATCTTGCAAACTCCAAACACTTCTATCACACTGAAACACATGACCCAGGTGGAATTAACGAATTTGGGCATAAGACCAAAGCTGAATTATTGAGAAAAAAATCATCGTATCCAAAATTTTATTGCACATACAACACATATATTTACATATTATAAAATATATATGTGGCTAGATTCAATGGCCATTTAATCATTTTGTTTCAAATAAGTTTCCTTAAAGGTGACGTAATGTTTTGCCCAAGAATGGGAGTGTTAAGCAATTCATACATCAACAGTCTTTCACATTCCTGGTCCATAAAAATAAGCCGTTGGCCATATGATTTCAATTGATCGGCAATATCATGTCTATCACTGATTCTTGAACACCTCGTGGTGGCGATGAGTCCTGCTGTAGGTTACGACACTTGGAGACCTGTAGCGAACCTACTGACAATAAACACCTCGTGGTGGCGATGAGTCCTACTGTAGGTTACGACACTTGGAGACCTGTAGCGAGCCTACTGACAATAAACACCTCGTGGTGGCGATGAGTCCTGCTGTAGGTTACGACACTTGGAGACCTGTAGCGAGCCTACTGACAATAAACACCTCGTGGTGGCGATGAGTCCTATTGTAGGTTACGACACTTGGAGACCTGTAGCGAGCCTACTGACAATAAACACCTCGTGGTGGCGATGAGTCCTGCTGTAGGTTACGACACTTGGAGACCTGTAGCGAGCCTACTGACAATAAACACCTCGTGGTGGCGATGAGTCCTACTGTAGGTTACGACACTTGGAGACGTGTAGCGAGCCTACTGACAATAAACACCTCGTGGTGGCGATGAGTCCTACTGTAGGGTACGACACTTGGAGACCTGTAGCGAGCCTACTGACAATAAACACCTCGTGGTGGCGATGAGTCCTACTGTAGGTTACGACACTTGGAGACCTGTAGCGAGCCTACTGACAATAAACACCTCGTGGTGGCGATGAGTCCTGCTGTAGGTTACGACACTTGGAGACGTGTAGCGAGCCTACTGACAATAAACACCTCGTGGTGGCGATGAGTCCTGCTGTAGGTTACGACACTTGGAGACCTGTAGCGAGCCTACTGACAATAAACACCTCGTGGTGGCGATGAGTCCTGCTGTAGGTTACGACACTTGGAGACCTGTAGCGAGCCTACTGACAATAAACACCTCGTGGTGGCGATGAGTCCTGCTGTAGGTTACGACACTTGGAGACCTGTAGCGAGCCTACTGACAATACAGATAATCGTCTTGTCGGATTTTATGTCCCCATCTGTCGGTCTTTGTCACACGTACGAAGTGCATTGGTATACACACATTGACGACAGACTTATGACAAAACATATTTTATGGTCAAAGACTTTCAATATAATCGATGAATGTGAGAATCCCCACACCAATCAGGTCGGGCCTACCGACTTAAGTGTATTACAAATCTTGTTGACAAATCGTCTCTCGATACGAACGTTTACAGCGCATTCTAGTCCCACACTAGATAGCTGTAGCGACACAGAATGCTAGAGACCAAATGTACAGTTGACATATAAGTGTTCGGACAATGGCCGCTGGGCTTGTTACTGCTTCAGTTTGGCCAAGACAGGTCAATTCATCAGCCGAGAGGTCCAGCTTCAATCTCTGTGTGACTAACTTACCAGTGGTACAATGACGTGCTCCTCACTTTAATGTGCTGCCCCTCCGCTCAGGATACACATGTTGTGTTTTATTTGTATGACAAGCCTGTTAAACTCATTTTCGCACAAACCGACGGCACAGCGTTATTACATAAAAGATTTATGCAGTTTTCTCTTGTGCAGTGAAAAACATGTTTGGTAGTTAGGTTATTTTCTTTGTTTCGGATGATGTCATTTACAGGAAATGGAAGCGTTGGTACTTTTCTCCTCGAAACCAACATAACAGTGGCCTCTCATTTTACGCTATGCTAGTGATGGATGCGGCACTGAACAGTTTTGACATAATTCCTGGCAAAATGAAGTTACCTCGAATTACATAGCAAGTTCAAAAATTGTGTGTGCAATTATAAAATACTTGTAAATACGGCCAGAATATGAAGGACTTAGAAGTACCGGAAAATATAGCTTCAAGTTTAGTTGGTGCAATGTGATATCACTTAAGAGTATACGATGAACAACCGTTGCATAGCGTTAGCTGACAATTGATTCAGGGATATTTTGTCATTTCGACCTGTTAAAAATGGAAGTGATTTCTATAACATTAACATTTTATTTCACGATAGCCCCGGAACTGTTCTGTGTGTCTGTCGAGGGTCTACAAGCTCGGATTTGCTGGAAGGATCCAACTAATGGTGCCTATGTGGAGAGGTACCAGTTACAGATCGCCATGAACGACAAGAACGTAACAAGTCACCCAGTAGTAATACGGGGTAAGAAAAACGAGGTGTGTACTCAGGTGAGAGCTACCCGTCCTGATCGGTCGTATCGTTTCACGGTCAAGGTATATAACAACACCCACTGGAGTCCAGACAGTGTACAGAGACTTGTCAACATCACCCAGAACGGTAAGTCAGATTCATTTAATAAACTAAATTATTACGACTTTCATTTGAAACTGTCAGTGCCATTGCTAAATAGAATGCCGTATCCGTTCACTGAACAGAAACTGGCCTATATAAATGATGAACCCTTTTTTTATTTTCGAACATCGGGTTCTGACAGATCTTGCGATGAAAAACGATGAAAAACATATATGAAAATAGTTTTTTTTAGTCTGTAACTGAATCATCGAACATCGGATTTATCAATCTATCTCGGGGAGAGATGTTGGTTTTAAATGGAAAGGCAGCTTGAGCGTAAAATTGGCGTTGTGTATACAGCAATTTCCGTTGAATTTGTAAAACATGATTTTGTTAGTTTTAGAAAAAAAATAACTCTAACGACAGCCCTATCCGGACCTCAAAATCGCGATCTAAGGCACCAAATCACCTAGCCAAGAAATTCCAAGCTGCCTAAACATTACACCGCCACGTCATCCCCCAAAAAAGCATGTTTGGAAGTTGCACTTTTACTGTTTATCAATACAACTTTCAAATACTCAAAATATATCACAAAAAATATTACACCGGAATTTCTTAACTTTTATTTCCATTCAAAAATAAATAACGGTATTACGCCCTGAAATAACTAAAGAAATTATATCCCCGATGATCACCAAGCGAACTTGTCATTTTTTTTTTTTTTTTTTTTTAAAGTTAAGTGGTTTGTAAATTTTACTTAACAAAGGAAAAATATATCTCAATTTTGCATGATGACTTCTAGATACCGAATCACTATTTGGTGGCGTTGTAAAATCATAAGTGACCAATACCTAGATCACTGATACTCGTAGTAATTAAATTCTTGTATTTCACTTTCGTTTTCCGCGGCAGTCCGTATATCGCATACTCTTAGAATGGTGTATGAAAGTTAGGTAACCGTAACTAGATATATTGGCTGTTCCGTCATGTTCTAACCTAGTGATAAAACAATCGGGTATTGCAGTAGGTATGTACTTTAGTGAGACAGCACAGTGCGTCCAGACGGATGATAGATGTGTTCGTTAAGCTGATACCAATGTCAGCCATTGAACAGTACATGTTTATCACTAAGGCCACACATTCAGTACTATAACAAAGATGTAGGTCGATGTTTTATTAATGTATTTCCCTTTCCGTAGAGATAGTGTCATTTTAATCACCTGTCTTGGTGACTCACATGTCATCGTCAAGATGTCAGTTATTCTCTCAAAATCACAAACACACTTTCCTAATTACTATACCAAGTATTCGATAGAATTTGCAACAATATACAAAATTTCTTTTAAATAAGACATTCTGTCTCCTCGCTGATTAATTATTAGCTGTTTATTACCAACAAGGGAACCAATTCTATTTAGACTCTACGACACAGCGGTAATGTCGGAAACCACAAGTCGTTGGTTCGATACCCAGCGGAAGCATTGTAAGAGTAGTGATGTCTGTTGCATCACACAGAAATTAAATTTCTGAAAGTAGTTGGTCTGATAATCCCATGTATCCTGGTCTTTAGACAAGCAGTGATAATTTTACTGAGTGTAAATTGAAGTCAATGTACTTTATATATCATGTTTAGTAAAGATTTGCCGAGTATGATATGGATTAAGGCCTGATATGAGATAGTGTGCGGTCTTTTTATCTATCATGAGATAAAAGTGCAGAAAGCGAGCAATTTTGTTCGTCTAAAGGCATTTATTTGACCTGTCAGGACGTCCACGCAATATACTTATTTCAGTATTGTTGAAAAACGCTTTCCAGTATAAATTTATTTAGGTATAATATAGTCAATAAGGAATTAAATTGTATCATACAGCTGTTTCGTTCTTCTACACGTACGGCTTGCCGCTAAGGATAAAAGTTGTTGAAGCCTGAGAAGCAACTAAACAATGGGTCGGAATAAATATCAAATCTAGAACCTGTTTCCTTGGGATTCGGGTCGGAATCGATATCAAATCTAGAACCTGGTTCCTTGGGATTCGGGTCGGAATCGATATCAAACCTAGAACCTGGTTGCTCGGGATTCGGGTCGGAATAAATATTAAACCTAGAACCTGGTTCCTTGGGATTCGGGTCGGAATAAATATCAAATCTTGAACCTAGTTCTTTGGGATTCGTGTAGGAATAAATATCAAATCTAGAACCTGGTTGCTCGGGATTCGGGTCAGAATAAATACCAAACCTAGAACCTGGTTGCTCGGGATTCGGGTCGGAATCGATATCAAACTTAGAACCTGGTTGCTCGGGATTCGGGTGGGAATCGATATCAAACCTAGAACCTGGTTGCTCGGGATTCGGGTCGGAATCGATATCAAACCTAGAACCTGGTTGCTCGGGATTCGGGTCAGAATAAATACCAAACCTAGAACCTGGTTGCTCGGGATTCGGGTCGGAATCGATATCAAACTTAGAACCTGGTCGCTCGGGATTCGGGTGGGAATCGATATCAAACCTAGAACCTGGTTCCTCGGGATTCGGGTCGGAATCGATATCAAACCTAGAACCTGGTCCCTCGGGATTCGGGTCGGAATCGATATCAAACCTAGAACCTGGTCGCTCGGGATTCGGGTCGGAATCGATATCAAACCTAGAACCTGGTCCCTCGGGATTCGGGTCGGAATCGATATCAAACCTAGAACCTGGTTGCTCGGGATTCGGGTCGGAATCGATATCAAACCTAGAACCTGGTTCCTTGGGATTCGGGTCGGAATCGATATCAAACCTAGAACCTGGTCCCTCGGGATTCGGGTGGGAATCGATATCAAACCTAGAACCTGGTTGCTCGGGATTCGGGTCGGAATCGATATCAAACCTAGAACCTGGTTGCTCGGGATTCTTTGATCTGATTTCTGTATATCTGATTGTATCGTCTAAGGATTCCAAAAATAACGTAGAGTCAACCATTATGTAACTTTATGTTTCGTTTCAAAATAATGCCTATCATTCTTAAATGCACTTTGTGTGTGTTTTAGGTCTGTATGGAGATTGCCACCTCTTCAGTGACTGTAGTGTGTTACAGCCCTGCGCTAATGGGGGTACCTGTCGAACCCTCCCGGACAAGACCTACCAGTGTGACTGTAGAGACGGTTATAACGGTCGAAACTGCACCGACACGGATTTGTGTGCCCAGTCACCATGTCTGAATAACGGTTCATGCACATTTATCTCAAACGAGAGGTTTAATTGCACGTGCCAGGATCATTTTTACGGGAACACGTGTCAGTATGTTGATAAGTGCCTCTCAAATCCATGTCTCAATAGTGGAACATGTTATTCATATTCAAACGGAACATCTGAATGCGCATGCCCAAAAAGTTACTTTGGAACTCGATGTGAATATTTCAATTCTTGTCATTCTTCTCCGTGTCAAAACGGAGGTAGCTGTTCAAATTTTGCCAATGGTACACATGAATGTTCTTGTCTTGATGGTCACTACGGGTCATTGTGCGAGAAAACCAATGTCTGCATCAAAGCTAACCCATGTCAGCACGGAGGAATATGTAATTTAATGGATGACGACCAAAACTTTAATTGCACATGCGCTGGAGGGTTTATCGGCATAAAATGTGAGATTATGGACATGTGTCATAATATGCAATGTAAAAACAACGCTACCTGTCAGTCCTTCGATGGTACAGATGCGCACTGTATGTGTAACCCAGGTTATTGGGGACAGGAATGCCAGATGGTTGACGCTTGTTTTCAAGATCCCTGTCTCCACAATGGAATGTGTCACAATCAAACGGACGGTACATTTAAATGCACGTGTGTTGATGGTCATCATGGTGATCACTGTCAACGCAGTGATCCGTGCTATTCAAATCCCTGTAGCGTCGGTGGCACCTGCGCAAGCACGTCCGATACAGACTTTGTGTGCGAATGTACCCCTGAAAGGTACGGAAAAACATGTGAAAATATTGATGGGTGTAAAGCAAAATTGTGTGAACAAGATTCCATATGCGTTAATAAAAGCAGTGATGGTGAAGTTGAATGTGTATGTAATGTAGGGACGTATGGGCAGTACTGTGAGGAAGTTGATCCCTGTAGAAGCTCTCCCTGTCAACATGGAGGTCGATGTGTCAACCACACCACACAATATTATCACTGCACGTGTCCGCCAGGATGGATAGGTCAGGAATGTGAAGTAGAAGACAAATGCTCTACCCTCCACTGTCAGAACAAAGGTGTATGTCGATATAATACCAACGACGGGTCTTTTTTCTGCGACTGCGCTGAAAATTTCTCAGGCAAACTTTGTCAGAAGTACGATTTTTGCAATCCGAGTAGCAACATGTGTTTAAACAATGCTTCCTGTAAAACTGTGGATCACCAGTTACATCAAATAGTCATCAACAGAACTATCGCTAATGTCACAAACTGGTACAGCTGCTATTGTTCCAACGGTTACACAGGTAAAGTATTTAGTTCAGAGCAATTACAATTTCTTGGCCTAAATTACACAAGGACATACAAAATAATGCTCATTGTAATTTCATGAGGGATTTTGTATCCATTTAGGCAAAACATACCACGTTCTCATTCCCTGTAAATGAAACTATTATGAATTTTGAAAATAGTCGCAAAATATGATGATATTCGTGAAAACAAACGAATACTTAAAACTAGACCCTAGAATCTTTTGAGAGAACACAAACACAAGCGAACAACATATTAAAATTTTGGTTAAATTCAACCCATTTCACGTCTTCAAAGTGTGAACTGGGGAAATGACAATGAAACAGCATCGTCTACTAATGAGCAACATAGAGAAATCAGGGGTCAGATTGACACGGGAGGGAAAGGCTTCATCTTAATCTCAACCGTAAGATAATGAAAAAGTCTTCAAAAATGTCTTTAACATTAGCATTTTATGTAATTGTTCCAGTTACATTAAGTGAAATTCTATATTTTATGCGTTTTGCCTAGAAGTTTTAAACTAAATTCAGCATTATCGTTTCAATTTTCGTCGATTTTTTTAAGACAAGATTCTTTCGTGGAAGTTTTCGTGTATAAGTATTGCTCAATAAATCTACTTATTTTCTTGTACATATTTGTGAACTAAGAGTACCCACTAAATAAGTGAAAATAAATCCCTCACGAAAAGTAATGATATTACAGTATGTGTCACCAAACTTTGGAAGTGTATACATGAATAATCCTACGCAGCTGTATAAACGGGTTTTGATTGGTCTATTACCACGACAAAATTGATAAAATATCCAATATTTACCAAACGGTTACCTCTTATGCTTAAGTACCGCGTATACTTACAGCTACATGTATATAATTATGTCATTAATGATTATCAATATTAAGTCAAACAAATGTCACCGATCACACTAAACAGGATCAATCATTTGTTCGTGTGAAGAATCAGAAGTGCTTGGAACAATATTTGTTAATATCACAAAGTATGAACTCCCATACGTATTTATATCAGAGATAACAACCTCGATTAAGAACATTGTTGGTGCCAAACAGTCGCGGAATGTTTTGTTTTCCATTTTTCCCGTTAAAGAACACGTTAGAGATGTGACGCATTTAGACAAAAAAAAAACACCTCCACTCATATGTAACTTTACAAAGATTACAAAAAAATGAAAGCAACTTCTCACAAAAACGTTTTATCCGAAATTATCTATTTTTCTATTTTTTATTTTCTCTGCCGTATTTTAGCATATGACCTATGTATTACCTTACTTTGTATCACGAATCACATAACTTTATCGTAAAATATTTAACATGAAGCACATATTTCACATGCCCTATATTTCAGTGTGGTTCTACTTTTCGGTTTGGTTAAAATGTGTTACAAGATATAAATATATATCAAGATAATTAATATTTAAAAATAGTATTTTGAGAATTCATTTTTAAATTTTTTTAATAGGGAAATGTATTCAACTTCAGTTTTTTCCCTATTTGACTGAAGATATTCATTTATGTACACACATCTTACAGTGCTACTATGGTGTCAGACATATCATGATATATCTATCTTGTATATATAGCAATGGAATGTCTAAATAAGTAATTTAAGTATACTGTGATTAATCATACCTAAATAGGACTCCATAGTATATATAGTATACATGTACATATAAGTCCTCAGTCAAAAATCTGCCTTTGTTATTTACTCTAGCAAATGGTCCGGCTGCTATTTATATCAGCGTTTGTTTCGGTTTTTCCTGTGTTGAACATGGTGTTGAGGAATGTATATGACATTTGTACATGGAAACATTATAGAACATGCCAGTAAGATAGCATGTATGTCTGTGTATTGTTAACATGACACCGGACTGTACAGGATGCCTGACAGGCAGATTAGAGAATCGCGCAGTAATACACACATCAGTCGCATAACCGGAAGATCTTCCGTCACGAAAACAGAACCCCATAGGTCATGGACTGGTCAAACAGATGATTATTTCAACAGACGGACAGCCACTGCCAGTAATTCGGGTGTCAAAGATATGTCCAAATTTACCAGGATAATCATGTAATGACTTTTCTGAAATCGTAGTTAAAATTACATGTTCAAGCTAAGTTTGGAAATTTGAAGAGAGTTTCTTATCAGACATACCAACTGCGGTAGATATTTTATCAATAGGCAAAAGTTCAATCTATCAATTGAAGTGTTTTTATTTAGAAATACGTCAGAAGAATAACATCTTTATTTCGGTCAGTGTACTGGATTATCCTTTAAATAAATACAGATTGTTTTAATGAGATGGGAGAAAAGATATGTCTGTCTGGTTTAAAAGGGTTTCAGACGGACATGATTAACAATGTGAAAACCGAGACAGCAGTATAATGCATATACCGACAAAAGTTCAAGATAAGATTGATGTCGATAATGAAAAACACGCAGGGTGTAAGTCAGAGGAGAAGTAAAACGTTTCCGCGATAACAACACCCACCACATTATGGTGATACCGGAAACAGAATATGGGCAAATTATTCTTAGATAACAACTTTATTCTACGTATTGTAATGTATTACGAATGCAAAGCAGTATATCACCATAAAACACCTCGGCGATATGGTCAGAGGTTACTCGTCGCGTGAGTTATATTTAGAGGGTCGTTGGTGACTCGTCGCGTGAGTTATCAACACGGTTAGAAGACCAGTGGTGTCTTGTCACGCGAGTTATATATTGAGGTTCATTGGTGACTCGTCGCGTGACTTGTCCCTGGAATTATTTATAGAAAACATCAACACTGCTACTTTTCCCGTTGTTAGGAGGTTCAGTGGTAAAATGTGTTTTTGTCGGAGAGGTTCAGACTGATATCGGTGAAGTGGTGACTCCTCGTGTCAGATTCACAGGCAGGGATTTTAGATCATCGGAATGATTATAAAGCATGAAAACACAACATTTGAAAGAAAATACTTAAGAAATCTAAAATGTATTACATTGTTTGTCTGTAGTATATAAAGATAATGCTTGTAATTGTAAACATTATCCAGAACGCTGCTGTTAAATGCGGAGAGAGAACTAATAAATGCCACATATTTTCTGTAGGCAATAATCTCTCACCAACAGGGACAATATTTCTTAAAAGAAAAAAATCATCTTCCATTGTGTTGTGTGACGTGGTGTTAAGTATTTCTGTAAAAGCTCTAGTGTTTAATCATATATATTACACTGTAACTTTTTTTAACGGCATTATTTTTATGTATATATAAACAATGACGTCACCGTGTAACCGGAAATATAAACTCAACGTTAAGATTGAAGATGAGGCTGTTCACCCAGTTACTAATTCCAGTCGTCTCTCATTAGAAAACAAGTGACTGTACTTGATATGGGAACACGCCTTGCTATATATATAAAACCTACGCCCCCATCTCTATACGGCTGAAACGTACTCGGTGAAATATGCACTTGACGATATTTGAACATTTGCATGTATCAATGATAATCCAGCTTTCACTAACAACACAACGACTAGGAATTACGTTAATGGCATTTTAACCCCTTTAGTATAAAGACAAATATTATCATTGGGTTGATAACCATATTTGTAACTTGTAATCATAAGAATGAAATACATATAAAACAATTTTCAACAAATCCTGCACATCAAGCGCAAATTTATATATGATGGACGAAGTCTTTTATACGAACTCGTTTCATTAATTTGTCATACATACAACTCACATAGAATCATGCAATCAAGTAATGAACAAATCAACACAATACTGTAGAACCATTAATTTTCTGGGTGTACATCAGGACTGGTCACTTCAGTCTCCCCTAGAGACAGCGTATATATTAAAATCTGCAAATTCCATGAAATACCAATAAATGTCGCCTCTCACGACCACTTGGTGCGAAACAACAACCCAAAGCAACACTCTAATTTCAAAACCATGCTGTAATATTAGCTAATTAATTTTCGGAATTGTGAAAAACAAAACAAATTGCTACTCCCATTTACTGGGAGTCATTCCGTCAATCTTTCACATTTACATAATATATCGTGGTCGATTATAAAAAAAAAACCTGTTTGTCTAAATTTTATCACACGTCTAAGTGGTATTCGTATTAACAAGTTTAGAAAGCATTTCAAATTACTCAATGCTGTTAATGAATCTTTTAATAATATTTCCGTGTACATACGCTATCTAAATTGGATAAATAGATTACTTATAATGTTCTAATAACAATTTAGTTCCTGTTTATCATTATTTCCTGTAGAATAAAATACATTTCGGATAATTGACAGACGCAATATCGGCCAATGATTGATATTACCAATAAATATTCGGTCAATAACCACTTCACAGATACGGGGACATTCATGGCCATGTTATTGGTTTGGTCATGTGATTATCCACGACAATGGGACGTGACCATGGACGGCAACTAAAGGGCCCCCTACGGGGTACTACCATGCCACCCTACTCTCATTAGTTTTAGTAATACAATTTGATGGTGTCCCTATAACCCGGTGCTTTAAACAGTAAAATAACCTTTTTAGAACACGATTCTATTAGATAAACAATTTAGTCCCATGACAAATATAAAACACGGTATAACTTAGGAATTAACAGAAAGATACTTTATAGCCCAAAATAATGCACAGCATTGTAGTATTCGGAAGTTATCCATATGGGAAGCCCTCGTTAATCTTAGTGCGACGATAGGCCAGTATAGAGTTGAGTTAATCACATAGAGAGATGTCACTTGAGGACACACGAACCGACATGACACCAATATGACAGAGCATTTAATGGACGCATGTATTTCCGTATCTGCGTCTTCCCGTTTAATACGTCTTGTTTACCTGATGATCAATACAGTTGTTTGTCTGGCATGTTTATTCTCAAAGGCCGTACTTAAGTGATATGTTTACATGTGAAGTATAGTTTAAGGCTGTTCAACACTATTTGCAACAATATTTTACCTACATACACAGGGCGCGTATTTTGTGTTACTGATATGCATTGCATTTATTGACCAAAACGTGACAAGTGTCGTGGATGAAGAAGTCACACCAGTTCTACCTCGCATTTTTTAAGCATCTACATGTGATCTTCCTTTTCCCATATTTTGCTCAAGTTTTATCGAGTTTGAACTTGAATTAAGATCCTGTGGAGTATTTTCGTCACTATCTATATACATACTTAAAGAACATGGTACTACAGTGTAATATGTGATTTTTCTGAGATTTTGTTGATTGGTGTGCATGTTTAAAACGTTTTTTTTATTATTATAAAGAGTCTCTAATCAAAACCTTACATCCAGGAAACTTGTCTTCAAATATATTTAGGTTAGAGTAGTTTCCCATCTATTTTCAGGTAAAAATATATGATTTAAAGACGTATATATCCATGTGTGATAGGAAAACAATGGCAATGCCGTTCAATTAATGGTTTCCGAAAATCATTGATTAAATAATCTTGGAAATGCGATGTACCATTAGCTTTTTAAGGAAGTAAATAGTATCAAATTGTAAAGCTGGAATTTTTACAAGTTAAACAAAAATATTACAGCACGTGTTAAGGTACTTCACCCTTGGTTTTTATCATAAACAAGGAGGGTTCTGGGTTCGGTGAAGTTAAGATACTATACATACCTGACCTTTCGAGGTCTACTCCATCAGAAGATGCAGGCTGTCACATTACTTCGCCCTAAGCACAGTGGCAGCCATTTTTCTAGACATATCATTCTGTATACAGCACATTAATATATCCATTTAACTGACTGGACTGACCTCCCGTAAACCAGACAACATCTACATCTTACATACAGAGCTTTCCGGTTGTTTCAGGGATTCTACATCACGTACTTAACATGTTTGTTTCTGCAAATCTCTCACAAAACAATTCCATAGCTGTCACTTTAATTTTCTTTCGTGAAAAGTTTCACATTGTGACATTGTACATCTTTGTGTTATGTCATATTTTGTAATTGAAGTTAAAGTCAAATTGCACCTTAACTGTAGTCAATTAATAACTACTACTGATTTCTTCCTGAACGTCAAGGCAATGCCAAACCAATGAAATATCTGCCTTGTTAAAACCTTTTGAATAATCGGTCTTTTCTAAATATCAGGGTCAAGAACTGCGGTTATTTTAATATAAGCGTAATAATTTCTACAGAAACAAGATAAATTTGGGTATGATAATTGGACGCTGTGATATTGCAAGGTGGTAGACGTCAGACTATCCTTGTCTTACTCAGTTTCAGGTATTTCCGGAATGGAGTCGATATTCTATTACTTGTTTTCAACACCACACTTTCCTAATGAGTAATATTCACTGAAATACCCTAAACACAAGGTTTTCAGATACTTTTATGTCCATCAGCATAATATTGTTTGGAAAAGTTCCATTTCCGTGTCCCCTATAAGGTGCAATGTGATCAACGCTCATCAATATAGCTGGTGGTTGTAACTAGTGCAGATATCAAGGGATTATGTCATTACTTAGAGTTAGATCTACATAGCTGATTTTGTTAATGAAGTGGACTTCCCGATCCTTTCCGGATTCAATCATTTTCATTAGTAAATATTTTTTCGAAAGTCTCATTAACTCTTTATTTCTTCATTTATTATGACATTACTATATCTCGTTTCAACGAATTTCGATGTTTGTTATGAATGGAGGGTTATAAAGAACCTTTAGCGTGTAGATATCGGAGAGTTGAAAGGGAAGCTGAAAAAAACACAAAAGTACCTTCTAAATGACGCATTCGTGAATGTATGCACATTTAATATGTTTCTTTGTTAAATGTCGATTGTTAAGAGAGAGATTAGCCAAAATTTGCATATACTTTCAGGTCAAAAGTGTAACGTGGAGATCGACCCTTGCAGTTTTTCAAGATGTGGTACGTACGTGTAAATAAGATTATATACAGAAACATCACGTCCATACAGTCATACCATACATTTCAGAAACGTGAAATGGGTGCAAATAATAGTGATTTTCTTCCAACAATTTTCCCAAACCTGTATTTCTGCAGTGAATCTCTCATAATAAAATGAAATGCAGCTTAGATATACGTGATGTATCACGTGTACTGATGAGAAATTCTGTGCGATTAAATTTCATTAAAGCTCTTTAGATATTGTTTGAAATTAAGAAAGGAAGAAAAAGAAGAAAGAAAGCTACTAGCTTTTCTGTCCATTTTGACTGGTCACCGTTACACGTGATACATCATGTATATCTAAACTGCATTACGGTTGCGGTTATAAACAACATTGTTATAAATGGTCCTAAGTTATCGTCTTTCATTTTTCATTGATGTTTTGACATATAGCAAAATTATAATGCCTGTGTTAAGGAAGGATGTCTTTTGAAATATCAAATATGATATTAACATTTAAAAATTACCATATTGTTTAAAGTATACTTCATAAGAACCTATATTAATGGTTAATAACATGTGTTGGTCTACTTTAAAGAAAACAGGTATTGCAGAAGAAATTAAAAGGTGTATCATCAGAAATATTTAGATATAGTAATTAGTAGTAATTTATTTCCGAGATTATCAATGGTATAGAGATATCTCTACTGCAGAATTACGAGGTAAATTGTTTACGAGATAACTTTGATATAATAGGTGAATATGACTCAGTGGTAAAATAAAAGTAAATGTGCCGTCTACGTCCGATTGTGAACATATTTTCAGGTCAAGATAAATGATATGATATCTAATTATGTGTTGAAAAGCTTCTACACACAAATCTATATATATAGAGAGTATATTTTTCTTTGAAGGCAGCTTGCTTATACGCGGAGTTTCCCAAGGCCATGTTCCTAGTTCATACACAGTAACGCCAAAACCCGGCTGCATTGTTTTATACAAACTGATGATTTTTTCTGTCAATACATTTATATACTTCTTCTGAAACCATAACAGATATCATATTCCAGCTCATAATGTTAGAAGTTTTTCTTCTTAAAAACACAAGTAATTATTTGTGATATACTTTGTATACTACTAGAATTAATTACCATCCTGTACCTATCCTTTACTTATAAACAACGTCAGTTCTTGTCTGTTTTATTAGGCAAAATGGTATGTTAGGGCAACAGTCAAATGCCTGTTATACGGCATTTGTTCATTAAAGCTTTCATTTTTCCCTAAAGACAGTGTATGTAAGGGCAACAACATGTATCGAGACAAGACGGGACGATATATCTGGCCAGAGACTGACCATGGTCACAATGTCACCATGATGTGTCCGTACGGAGCCCATCCTCACCACGTGAAACCGGTCGCTTTCAGGTCGTGTAGAAGGGGTCCGTCTGGTCATGCGAGCTGGGGCAATCCGGATACGACAGCATGTTTGGAGGTGATATTTTCATTGCACTGAAATTGAAACAAGTGAATAATATAACATATGAACAATTTGTAATGAGTGAACTGTGTTGTAATAACACATACAATATTTGATTATATGATTATGTGATTTGGAAGGTTCTGAAACTGTTGACAAACACCATAGAAATCACATTATGATTAAATGCTTAACTAAAACCCAGGCATGACTCATCTTTAATGGTACTGTTCTCGTGTCTTAGCTAAGCCTAGACGAGGCGGAAAAGAGATTGTTGGATCTCATGGCCTTCACCCACGACCCCAGCCATCTCACCGCCGAAGTCGTAATCAACGCAACAGATATCCTTGAAAATCTGCTGGTATTCGCCTTTGATGATGACGAGGTAAGTATTTCCAGAGGATAATATGAATTCCTGAATAGAAACATCAGTACAACAGACTGATCGTATGACAACAATTAAATTGTTTCCGTCTGAGCAACATTTACATTCTTCAAACAACAAATCGCAATTGCGATTCAAAATGTTGCGTAATATAAACGCTGGTGAATTGGTTTCAATACTGAGGAGATTCTAGACTGTGTACTTACTTTCAGTGTTGTTGAGTGGTGAGAAGAATCTAGACTTTGTACTTTCAGTGTTGTTGAGTGGTGAGAAGAATCTAGACTTTGTACTTTCAGTGTTGTTGAGTGGTGAGAAGAATCTAGACTTTGTACTTTCAGTGTTGTTGAGTGATGAGTAGAATACAGACTTTGTACTTTCAGTGATTATCGAACAAAGCAAAATATTTTAAATTGTTTTATTTTTTTCAAAATTCTTACGATTATATAAAATTTAGCACTTTCTGTAACTTCTAAGAGGGTGGATTTTAGGCCATCAATACTCAATTATTCTGTTATAGAAGTATGTTTTTCTCATTTCAGATAGCAGAGGAGGTGACCAAAGTGGTCAGCAACCTTTTGACTGCCACAGAATCAGTGTTGATTGAAAGTAACCATAGAAACCATTCGAGTGAAAGGTACAGTTTAAATCTGTCACGAATCTCAATTAATAATTGTAGAAAACAACAGAGAAAGCTGCTCATTTTTGTACCAACAAACTTTTAAATCGGCTAATCAAAGACTACAATGACGAACCTTGCAAATATTGTAGTACTGTAACAAACATGCTGAAAATGTGAAAATTTGTTCAAGTATCTTTTGACTAAAAAACGCAACCAAATATCTCTTAAGTGTACCAAAAGCTCCGAAATACATCCTTTTTATATCGAATATTTACATGCAAATTATATATGGTATCTCTTTTTGGATTTTTTGTATTTTGTGTGTATACAAATAAAGAAATTGCTTTACAAATTATTCTCAGTCTCTTCGGTATAGTGTTTACGTTGTAGATATAATGCTCGTAAAAGTCAGGTATTTAACTCATTAGAAATCATAACATGCCATTATGATGAAACAGATAAACTCACCCAATATTTCAGTGTGCAAATAATATTGTTTAAGATAATCTAGTAATTATGTAATGATTAGATTTGTCAAAATTCCTATTTTTTTATGAAATTACCGACATCTCATTCATAGATAAAAACGAGCGTATGTATTTGGAGCATGTAGATATGTTAATACGTCCTAAATGTAGCTATATTCATTCTCAACGCATCTGGTTTTTAATCAAAATTGCATAGTAATGTCTTCGTTTTATTAACGAAAATAAAACATTCGTACTAACATATCAGAATGAAATATAAAAAGTAGGCATTCACAATACTTATTACACAAGCAATTTTATGGCAATGCCTAAACAAACATAATAAGAAGGGTATTAGATTTATTACTGGACGCAAGCCCAGTCTACTCAGTTCAGTCGACTGTTTTATGAATAAAACAGTTTCTTCGCTTAATCTCAGATTTATTACTTAAGAAAATGGTGATAAAATTTTTCATCTTCTGACACTTTTAGTTTCATTTTATCGAGACCCATTTCTCTAATATTATCCAATAAGGGACGTTTATGGGAAAAGTGCATTTCATGTTCAATAAAACAAGACAAAAATTCAAACTCTTAACTGTCTCGGTATGCTATTTATTCGACAACGGGCTCGTCCCAAGTCATGTGAACCGAGTCTAAAGTAATATCTATTAAGATATCAATGCAAAAACCACAAAATTAATTGATGTACAGCTAAACGCATTCTGGGTACAAGAATGTCCTTAACAGCCGCTAATTTGTAACAAACATTGATAAGAAAGCTTGTAAGCATCCAATTACCTAACCGTGTGTATAGCACATAAATGCTTATTGAATGGTGTAGCTTTCATCACAGCAGTGGTATTTCTTGTTTTGTCGGGCGTGCGTCCACGTTGTGATGCACTTCTGCACAACTTCACGTGGTATAGTTATCCAGTAACCCTGAGATATCGAGCTGTTTGGCATCTTGCATGTGTTTTACATACATCTTATCCCGTGTTTCATATCAGTCAGCATGATCTCGTACCAAGTGATTATTTTTACACTTTCAATTAAATAGGATATTAAGTTTATGAGCAGAGCATAGGAAGCTATTTCAGTGGTAATTCTAATAAAGTCGGCATACGTATGAATATAAAATGTGCCACACATTATACTGGAAATATTTTCAATACTGTAACTTTTTTTTTGTTTTAAGGAGTCTCACTATTTTAAAGGCCCAAATAATGTTCTAAACAGAAAGAAAAAAAAACTCGCGGAAATGAAGATGTAAATATGAAATCGTAGACGTTCCAAAATTTTAACAGTCTTTAAGTTGAAATGAAGGTAGCATAAGCGGGAAAATCACAATGAAAAAAGATATAGACGAATTCAGTTGTTATAAACACAATTGAAATAGAATTCAGGCAGGATGGTATGAAAGAGAAATAATTTCAAAATAACTGAATCAGTTTCGGGGGCTTTATCGTAGAATGAGTTCGTTTTCAATTAATGAATTATGTATATACATACACCAGGGAAGTGTCATCGATCATATATGTATGATAAACATTTGATTGATTTTGTATCGATTACTATTTAAAGATTGGTAAGACTTCTAGACGACTTTACAAAGGAGGTGAAGACCGAGAACAACGTATCCATAACGACCGAAAACATCAACGTCATGGTAGTGAATTTTTCCCTCCCTCACAATACTAGCAACAACACGGCAGCGTTCCAATACCAACCCGTCATGGGGAGTAGCCAGAATCAATCAGGATTGGTAAGTTAACCCACAAAGATCCAGTAAAATCCGGCAGAAAATTCCTTGCAGATATCGTTTTACATAATGCTATTTCAGACTTGTCACTAATTGTTAAAAAAAATCACATTTCGTTTCACCAATTGGTTACTTACTGTTATTAATACTGTTTGTGCCTGATTTCACGCAAAACTTTCATCCTTTTCATATACTGGGACAAAATAACGCCTACATATCTATATATTACCAAGCTTCATCCATGTTAATTAAAGATCACTTCTTTCCTATATATGTTTGTAAACAGCACTCACTTGATCTCGTCATTCACTTTAGAAGACTTCAGAAATAAGAACGTATACTATAATTTACTTTCCTGCGAATTTTCCCTGTCCTTTTTGTCTAGTTTTAAATGGCGTTAATATGTATGCTAATTACATTTCAGCACGGAGTCAAAATGGCTCTTCCGAAAGAAGTTTTTGATGTTGCTGGGAACAAAAATGTCAGGCTAGAGTTTGTATCCTACCGTACATCTGCTTTCTTCATCCCTGAAGATGCCCCGCCTGAACACATAGTTCTGAAACAAAGAGTCATATCAGCGACCGTCCATAAAACCGACATCCAAGACCTCAATATCCCCATTGAATACTCGGTTCCAAACATAGAAGTAAGACCACGATTTCGTTGAACATTTTGAAAATCTTAATATGTAATGGATTGCGTGTTTCTTTAAATTAAGATTACACTTTCTAACTTAAATTTAAGATGATCCTCTCAACAAGGCTAATCACATGCCATATGTGTGATAATGCTCTAAAGATCAGGAATTTACAGTCAGATAGCTGTTAACATTTATGAGCAATTTTCTTAAGATATCTTCTTAAAAGTAAGGCATAATTATTAACTGCTATTTTCAGATTGGAAGTAACCACACCTGTGTATACTGGAACACGGAGAGTAAGTTTCCTTTATTCATATATATTAGAACTTGAATATATATACTCAATCTGCATTCATTAACACATAAATACAAAGCAAAAAATATGGTAGAATACATATATCGTAACAATAATGTCCAAAAAGTAAAGAAGATATAATATCGGTTAAAACATGCATTATTTTCAATAAACCTACTTAAACAACTACACGATCTCATCTTGAAAATTGAAGTCATCACTTTGCTGTGAGTATATAGTATACTGTTGATGGTTTTATTGAAGTCTTGAAAATAATAGCCATTACTGTAAAATCGATCTTAAGCGGGTAATTTGAGGTTTATTGTTTCTCTTAAAATGAATCAAATGATTTTCAGATCGCACCTGGTCGATGGCCGGAATGGAGACTGTGTCGACAGGAGGTCATGTAACAGATTGTCGAGCTTACCATCTCACTAGCTTCGCTGTCTTACTAGTAAGTCGTCCGACTAAGCTTTCATTTCTATCATTTTGGCTCCTTTCTTCAATGTATGATCAACGGGGACTTGCTAAGGGGACATATGTCCTTTGTGACATTAAGGCACTCATTCATTTCTGTTATTACCCCTTCCGTTTCCATGGTATTCTCAATGGCATCTAAGGTCAGTCTTTTACCGAAATATAGTGACTGTCTGGAGCTTTGTACTTATTTCATATTGATACGCATTATGAGGTCGATTTGAAATTATATTCAAATGATTATGCATACTGTTGATGTTGACTTCATCCAACTGTAGCTACTGTGGAGCCTTTACCAAGCTTATAAATACAAATGATTATGCATTCTGTTGATGTTGACTTCATCCAACTGTAGCTACTGTGGAGCCTTTACCAAGCTTTTAAATACCAAACTTCACTGTGCACATCGATGTAGAAAGATTTATCTATAAAACAATGCAGATTCGGCAAAAAAACAACAACAACAACAACCAGACAAACATAAACCCTTTGTTATTGTAGGTGCGAAATAAAAGATGGTGTAACTCATGAACTTGGACGTCTCTATGTTTTGGAACATACGGTTAACTGCAATTGATGAGCCAACAAGTGACTTATAGAAAGATATAAATTTTATTTCTGTTTTTTATAAAGCATTTATAGATATTGTATACACATGATATACAGTTCGGTTATAATCAGGTAGAAGTGGGTGCAGTTTAGTTATAACACACATGTTTTATGTTTTATTCAGGACCCGACACCAAACATGGTTTTACCGGACGTTCATGACAAAGCTCTCACTTCTATATCCTACATTGGATGCGCGATCTCCATATTTGGTTTGACGTTTACCATCGTCACCTTCTCTATTTTCAGGTAATTAATGATGTCGTTTTTGATCTGTGTGTAATTGTTGTCATACTCAAAGATGAGGTTAGGTAGATTTCTACCGAAAATATAATTTAAAACGTGACAGAATGGCGGTTCGCCTTAAGTAATATTCATTATCTACAGGAAGACTATTCAGATATACCCTATCTTTATGTCAAAATGGAAGTTTTAAGAAGGTACAGATCTATAACCACCATGTTTATGTTTCAGATCATTGAATCGTGAGCGTTCCGGAAAGATTCTGTTGAACATGTGTGTATCCATGTTGTTGTTGAATGTGTCTTTCCTGTTGATGGCGGAGACGTCCCATTCAGACGGAGAGGGGCTTTGTATAGCCGTAGGAATCCTCCTCCATTATTTCTTGCTGACAACACTAACATGGATGTGTACAGAGGCCATCAATATGTATCAGGCACTCATCAAGGTTTTCACCAAATACTCGTCTTATTTCATCCTTAAACGCTGTATCGTGGCCTGGGGTAAGCCTGTGTTTGATGTCACCTTTCCTTTTTGATGCCTCCCCCTCACTTTCGTTTGATGTCAACATTGCTATCCGATTTGAATCTTTTCAAGCGTCGTATTGACGTTGTCATGAAATATTGTTGATCATAATCACTTTGCTGTTAGGCACACATTCAACTCCTAAACCATGACCAAATATAGATTCATGTCTTTACTTTCTTCATCAATTAGTCGCACATGTATCACAGCACAGATTGTGAGTGTATATTATGACTCTGACATGGTATGCACATATTTCTATTTATACGACGTACAACCTTCTTTTACAGGACTCCCAGCGGTAGTGGTAGCCGTCACCATGGGGGTCAACAACCTGGATAACTACAGATCAAAAGGACAATTGTAAGTCACTTTTCTGACATGGTAAACGACTGTTTTCAATTACACTTTTAATTTATTTCTAATATAGAGTAACAGCATCGAATTTATAAATGTATAAATATCGAAACCTCACGTTTATTTTTTCGACTTTATTTTAGTAATTCAGAACCAATTGACTTCCGGCTCAGTCTAAAACTAAGTTCGTATTTTATGAAATCTTTTTAAACATTATGTCATTTCTATATTTTTTCCAGTTGTTTCATATCTCAGTCCAATACATTGGCATTTTACATCGCTTTACTCGGTCCAGCCTGCTGTATTCTAGTCATCAACACCATAATATTCACGTTAGTCGCTCGTGTTATCATGAAGCCTAAATTTAAAGGCCATAGTCCTGCTGGAGAAAAGAACGAAAAGGTGACCCCAGCCCAGGTACGCGGTGCGTTCACCGTCATGGTATTACTTGGTATCACTTGGGTGTTCGGACCGGTCGCCATCAAGGAGTCCAAAATTGTGTTCTACTATCTGTTTACCATCCTCAACTCTTTGCAAGGATTCCTCATCTTTGTGTTCCGGTGTCTTTTCAACACTGAAGTAAGATCTGCTTGGGTTCTACTCATAAAAACTGGTAAATTCAAACGCAGAAGAGGTCCAATCAAGTCCATAGTCGAATCCAATACCTCGAAAGGTTACCATGACAACAGGATGAACGGAAGTTACGTGGAAAGTAACAACACAGATAAATCGAATATCACTAATAGTAATGCTATCAGCAAAAATAATTTAAAAAATGAACGATATAAAAATAACGGTAACGTTCAAAAGTACAAAAATGGAAATATGCCTAATGAAAACAGGCGACCGAGCAATGACAAAAGAGGAAGTCACGACCGTCGCCATAGTGACGAGAGACGGATCAGTAACGACCGTCGCCATAGTGACGACAGACGGATCAGTAACGACCGTCGCCATAGCGGTGACAGGAAAGCTTCGACCCCTTCAATATTTACACAATTCTAAACAAAACGTGGTCCCAAAACACCGTGGCAACTTCTCAACACACAACCAAAAATCCCTAACAGAGTGGATGGAGTGACCAGTGGTGTAAGCGGCTCGATAGGGATACGTAATGCGTTTGTTTTTTTGTTTTTTTCTGTGTTATTCAGAATTCATGTGTATAGGTTTGACATTTCCTGTTATCGAAGACTTGTTGTCGTTTTATCTTGAGGACGGGCTACATGCCCGTAAAGCGTTTTATAGATTTCCAATGGACTTTTTGTGCCAAAATGTGTTTCACCATTGTATCTAGATATTATTACCATTCGCATTTAAGTTATTTCCTGTTTCCTGCGTGTATATGATGTCGGGTTTTAGGAAGGTAAAAATTGCATTCCTTTCTAGGAAAAACAATTTCGTCTTTTTATAAATGGTAATTATTTAACTGGTCATTTTTGACAGGTTAGGCCACTCTGAAATAGCTTGGTTCATCATAATACATGCAATTATCTGTAGTAAACTCTTCCGAAAATATTTTATTGAAAACGCGAACTATAGTATTATGGTTTTAGTGTTTAACTTTTGTTTTTGGAAGGTTAACAATTGTTTCAAATCTTTACATGCTGATTAACTTAAAATCCAGATAAAAGGTGGCGTAGCTCATTGTGAACGATATCATTCTTGTTTAACTATTTACATGAATTAGGTTTCAACATATTCAGATATGCAGATATCCAAGAACAAAATGCCTCGCCCAACAATCAATCCGGTATACGGGTTTCTCATGATTCGAACGAACTTCCCCATTATTCTGTCATTATTGAGAAATAACTGCAGATTATGTTAAAACAGTGTACAACACGTCAAAACAAAATGTATAAAAAGTCCATTTCTACTCAAGTTCATTGTCTAAGTTGTCTGTAAATTGTTGAATACTTTGGAATGTGAATATCTTGTATCTTTTTATGTAAAATAAGCTTTCTCTTCTGTAAGGGCTGCTTCTCTAGGAACATATAAACCAAACATTGAATTACTTTATCTTATGACTGTTGCTTTCGAACGACCCCCAGCTTTTGCAGGAGATGGGCGTTTTTACTAAAAAGACAACTGAACGGAGGAGGACAGGCTAGTGGAAAACATGGGCTGTATATATTGACGTATGTTTGTAAAAATTGTACATGTTGGTATATGCTTTGTTTTATGAGTTTGCTATCGATCCTGTAACAATGCAAAAAAATTGATTGATTCCTTGATATAACGTGTGCTTCCTGTGACAGTAAGATATAATGCAGATATCTCCATAAGGGTATCAGTCTTACTTTACACGGTAAACTGTCTCAAAAACTCGGCTATTCTGTTTTACATCTGTGTGAACAGATATGCCTTCAGCGTTTTAATAACACCTGGTTATATCAGATATGATTCATATTTGTGTACAAACAGAATACAAATTGTTAAGGGTTGTATTTGACATAGGAAATACGTACATTAACAGTAGACAGTATGAAAGTATCTATTTACATATTTTTCAAATTAAATGAGTGCACATATTCACATCCTTAATATATCTTTTGTGGAAAAGAAGAAAAAATACATCTATCTCTAATGTATACAGTAATTCCACGTAACCGTAGTTTAAGGACGATTTCCGCCTTTATGTTAATAAGCAAAACTGCGTTAGGCAAATGAAATCCACAATTGATCGAGACCGGTGTTCACGTAGAAGGAAAAAGAAGAAAGTTTGCATTTTCTTAGTCAGAAACACATTATTCTAGTCACTTCAAATAATCGGTGGATTTTTTTTTATCGCTGTCGGATGATCTGAATGTTAATGCACAACCCGTGTCTAAAATGTTACTTTTAACAAGCAATGAGATAAATTTCAGTATTTGTTTAACATGTTTATTTCAATCAATTTCTGTTTACATTGTAAATATATATGTCTTTAACGATACAGCGACAGTTCTTGGCACGTCTGTTTAGCATACCAAGTATATTTCCTTTTTTATTCACGCGATTTATTTTGCATGCTATAATTTGCGAGTTAAAATATTTTTTACAAGAATGTATAGAGCTTCCACTGTCATGATGTAAAAATGTGTTTACATCTCTATTTGTTACGTAGCTGTATATAAGATAGAAGTCTACCTCGATGTATATAGAACCTTCGCGATGAACGGGTCACTGTTCTCAATACACAACTTCATTCTAATTAGCTTCATCGGGAAGGTATCGACCTAATTTTGATAGTGACGTTTTAAGTACAGCATTTCTTGCTATGATTTTGTCAGATCGGAGGATTGTGGGAAGGTTTCTAGCGAAATTCACACAAGATATAAGGTAGATATCAATATTGTTTTGTGCAATGTTCAAAAGCCATCAGACGATATTAGATTTCGTGTGTGCAGATAGCACACTGCTAACGACACGCAGGTAAAGACTCCTATGTTTTGTAGGAAACTATGAAGTATGCGGTTAATTGCAATAATCAATACTATTGACCCCTATGATCGTTGACTGCCTCTCAGTCCTGCATTTAGAATATTTGATGCAATTTGTGAATGTTACCATATATTGTTCATTATAACTACATCCTTTGTGTACATTGTGTATTTCACCTTGTTTGCTGTTCCGTGTCCTAAGTGATGTACGTTGTAGACGCTACCAAGCGTTGATGATACATATTAATGTTACCATATATATATGTATGTATCATGTCCTAACACTGGTGATGTTTTACTGTATATGTGAACAGTACCTTATATGGCGGTGTCTTATCAACATTTCATTTAATAAAATATTATTTGTGACTATAAGTATGTTGGTACTTGATTCTTTAATTGTCGCCGAGTTGTTCAAACTGTTATATACCCGGTTCATTAACACCACGTGTAGAACTCTATCTCTCGCTGGTTCATTAACACCACGTGTAGACCTCTATCTCTCGCTGGTTCATTAACACCACGTGTAGAACTCTATCTCTCGCTGGTTCATTAACACCACGTGTAGAACTCTATCTCTCGCTGGTTCATTAACACCACGTGTAGACCTCTACCTCTCGCTGGTTCATTAACACCACGTGTAGAACTCCATCTCTCGCTGGTTCATTAACACCACGTGTAGAACTCTATCTCTCGCTGGTTCATTAACACCACGTGTAGAACTCTATCTCTCGCTGGTTCATTAACACCACGTGTAGAACTCTGTCTCTCGCTGGTTCATTAACACCACGTGTAGAACTCTATCTCTCGCTGGTTCATTAACACCACGTGTAGACCTCTATCTCTCGCTGGTTCATTAACACCACGTGTAGACCTCTATCTCACGGTGACATATATATCAGATCTTAATTATGTTTATAAGAGATATGGGACTAGAAAAAAAATCTTTCACTCTTAAAAAAACACCTAGTATCTTAACACAACAAGTTGGTTACATATTAAATAGCCTTTCCTATAAAACCTTACACTCCTGTTGTTTTGGGTGATTGTCACCTTTCCTATAAAACTTTACATCCCTGTTGTTTTGGGTGATTGTCACCTTTCCTATAAAACTTTACATCCCTGTTGTTTTGGGTGACGTGTACCTTTCCTATAAAACACGTGTTTACATCTCACAGTGACATATATATCAGTTTAATTATGTTTTGGACATGGGACTAGAAAAAAAATCTTTCACTCTTAAAAAACACCTAGTATCTTAACAGAACAAGTTGGTTACATATTAAATAGCCTTTCCTATAAAACCTCACACTCCTGTTGTTTTGGGTGATTGTCACCTTTCCTATAAAACTTTACACCCCTGTTGTTTTGGGTGATTGTCACCTTTCCTATAAAACTTTACACCCTGTTGTTTTGGGTGATTGTCACCTTTCCTATAAAACTGTACACCCTGTTGTTTTGGGTGACTGTCACCTTTCCTATAAAACTGTACACCCTGTTGTTTTGGGTGACTGTCACCTTTCCTATAAAACTGTACACCCTGTTGTTTTGGGTGACTGTCACCTTTCCTATAAAACTGTACACCCTGTTGTTTTGGGTGACTGTCACCTTTCCTATAAAACTGTACACCCTGTTGTTTTGGGTGATTGTCACCTTTCCTATAAAACTGTACACCCTGTTGTTTTGGGTGACTGTCACCTTTCCTATAAAACTTTACACCCCTGTTGTTTTGGGTGACTGTTATGACCTTTCCTATAAAACTTTACACCCCTGTTGTTTTGGGTGATTGTCACCTTTCCTATAAAACTTATATATAAATAGTATATATTTATTTTTTCCATATTCAAGTGTGCAATCCATAATACCGAAATGGTATGACTAAAGTAGTGTACAAATACCTGACAGAAACTCTGACATCAACTGTTTATCTGTTACAGATAAAAATCAGAATATTAGAAAACGTTTGATAGCTATGAAGTGATCATTGAAATTGTTGTTTAACACAGAATTACTATTCAATGAATCTACTTTTAAGAGTTCGTGGGGTCATGAGATTATCAGACTTCAAATTAAAGCAGTAGACAGTCAATTAATTACTATGCTGTAATGCAGATGTCATCTACACGTGGTGTTAATGAACCAGCGAGAGATAGAGTTCTACACGTGGTGTTAATGAACCAGCGAGAGATAGACTTCTACACGTGGTGTTAATGAACCAGCGAGAGATAGAGTTCTACACGTGGTGTTAATGAACCAGCGAGAGATAGAGTTCTACACGTGGTGTTAATGAACCAGCGAGAGATAGAGGTCTACACGTGGTGTTAATGAACCAGCGAGAGATAGAGGTCTACACGTGGTGTTAATGAACCAGCGAGAGATAGAGTTCTACACGTGGTGTTAATGAACCAGCGAGAGATAGAGTTCTACACGTGGTGTTAATGAACCAGCGAGAGATAGAGTTCTACACGTGGTGTTAATGAACCAGCGAGAGATAGAGGTCTACACGTGGTGTTAATGAACCAGCGAGAGATAGAGGTCTACACGTGGTGTTAATGAACCAGCGAGAGATAGAGTTCTACACGTGGTGTTAATGAACCAGCGAGAGATAGAGTTCTACACGTGGTGTTAATGAACCAGCGAGAGATAGAGTTCTACACGTGGTGTTAATGAACCAGCGAGAGATAGAGTTCTACACGTGGTGTTAATGAACCAGCGAGAGATAGAGGTCTACACGTGGTGTTAATGAACCAGCGAGAGATAGAGTTCTACACGTGGTGTTAATGAACCAGCGAGAGATAGAGTTCTTCACGTGGTGTTAATGAACCAGCGAGAGATAGAGTTCTACACGTGGTGTTAATGAACCAGTATATTGAGTCTAAAAGATCAACTTTAACTGAATTGATTGGTCCTGGCTAGGACCATCAGGAAATGAAAAAACACAAGAAACACAAAAATAATAAAAATCTTGTTTGTATTCCAAAGTGGTAGCTTGTGAGCGAAAACCTGTTTTCAGAATAACAATACAAAATAAATATCCAAAGGGATATGTAGCACTTATCATTGATCATATAAACACATCTGTACATATATATATATATAGGAGCTTTGAACAGGATATTTACAAAAACCAGGAGAATGTTATGATAGCAATCCCTGTGGAAGTTAATACTGGATAAGTTTTGTCCTCCTCCAGGCAAATTGTATACATGTATAAGTCAGCAATATCTCTAGCGCCAACGACCACGAATCTTGTCTTCTGAAGCAGGAAGACCTTGTATTCTGTAGGACTTTTATCCACACAAACATTTACAAGGGGGTCTTTATTCAATTTAGCTCAATACTCCATACAACTGTGATTTTGTTGATGATATTTTAGTTCTTTTTTTTCTATTTTTTTCAGGTTTTAATTCATAACAACATATCTGTCATGTTGAATTCTGTAAATCAGCTTGTAATGTTAGGGGCCTTGTGTCCTGTCTATATACATATGCTTACATCATATTATGATAATTACAGACAGCTAATTACATAACATTAATCTGTCGTTAAAGGTGCCAGGAATACATCAAGTTAAAACCAAATGAAAGTAATGCACATTATACTCAACATATATCAAACTTATATATGTCAAAAAAATACATTTTATATCTTCACTAATGGCAGATCTGATAGCATGAAACATTTCAACACTACAAGTTCTAAACTAAAAGGCTAAAGCAATCAGAAAAACTCCAAAGGTGCCTATAGTTCTGATGTTGATATTCTTGTAAACATGGAGAACATTGATTTCTTAAATTTTGGTCTCAAAACAGCAACACAAGCATAGGCCTTATTGAAACCACCAAAACTGAGCAATATCTCATTGAATTGTACCTGGTGAAATTACCTGAAATGATCGCCTTTTGGCTCCATTCATCCATCACACATCTAAATCCTTATTGTCCCTGGTGAAATTACCTGAAATGATCGCCTTTTGGCTCCATTCATCCATCACACATCTAAATCCTTATTGTCCCTGGTGAAATTACTTGAAATGATCGCCTTTTGGCTCCATTCATCCATCACACATCCATATCCTTTCTCTCACAAATCATAAATTGGCAACCTATTTTAGATGGATTTTAGATGTTTCTTTACAAAAAACAAGATTATAATACACATGTATAGGTGTACAAAATAACATGATGCTCAAAACAGGCGGCATGGATACGATTGTCAAAAATGTTAGGAATGACAAAAGTTATGTCACTTTCAATCATATTGGCACATATAATATACAGACAGAAAACAATGGAGATTATACCACAGATTGAAGTGGTTGGAGAAAAAATGATAATTCCCTACCTTGTCAGTGTGGCACTACAATCTCAACCCTTGGGGAGAATTAGAAACAAGAGGACTCTGTGGTAGATTAGCCTTGGCTAAACAGTTTCTTAAATCCTCATTAAATTAAGTTTATTATTATCATAAATTCTTAAATGCCTATCCTTGTGCAAAACTTAATTCACAGTAACTGGAAATACCTGATTCCCGATTGCTTACACAAAGTATATTCCACGATTTCAATGATTGTTTCATAAACAAACTAGCTGTTACTAAGCAAGAGAGACAAGTACACTTGAAACCTACATAGTGATTATGTATTATTTGAAAATTAAATAGTCCAGGGAAACAAGTTTCTTCGGATTTAATATTTTAGTATTAAATATCAACAATTATCAGATTGTGATGTCATTCAAGCGAAAACTGTAAAGTAAAAAGCCATATCAAAATTTGATTTTTTTTCAAAAGACCACACTATATACCAAACCAATATCAATTTAAATGAACCATCTACCAACTCAGCAGTTTGTAAACAGAGGAACACTGACATCTCAATATCAAGAATCAGTGTGTTGTGTTTCTAAATCACTGTTTTATAAACACAACATGTTTTTGTTTGCACATTATATAACCAGTGTAGATGTTAAGGCACTGTTAAAGTTTCTGTGCTTGTCAATCTGCTTCATCCTCTATATATATATATATCTTCTACCATGTATAAATGGCAAGCTGGCCAGGTAAGGCACTTTTAGTATGAACCTGCCCGACCTTACACTAGATCTTCAATTCAGTGGTTTCAAATATATTCCCTTCACCACACTAGTCTAAATATGACTTATAAATAGAGGTATTGGTCAGTCGATGGAACGAAAACAGTTGGTTCTAACACAGGAATACACCTGAATTATTTGATCACTGTATATAAGTAACCTATTCATTACTGATGGTTTTTTTATGTGTTTATATATATATATTGTCACTGATGGTAAATATGGATAATAAAACGGTGTAACAGGCTGTAACAGGCCTACACACTATAGTGATAGTTTAGCACTTTTTTGTAATGATTAGGTAAAAACTCTATGTAATCAACCTTGTCTTAGATAACATCTGCCGAGAGTTAGTACCAGTTTACACTATACACTCTATCAATCAGAACTGATTTCATTGAGTGATGTGTTGAAAAAAGATTTTAGAAAATTTTGATAACGGGCCACAAACTATGTTGTTGAAAAAGGTGGAAAATCTACAAGGTGTATAAAACAGATGTTTTTCAAGTTTGGTGACCATTTTCCTTTTTTATTTCCCTAAAATATATTCTCTGACATCAAAACCTATGTTACAGTTTATCATGGGTCCTTTACTGAAGTGCAGTGAAGTACTTCAGTCTGCTACCGAGAATTTCTTTCTTTTAAAGTGTTGTTCCATTTCAAAGTTAACAACAGTAAACCTATACATCGTTTAATTGAATATGATGGGATGTTTCCCATTTGTCAATCATTTTTTCATATCCTACCTTCTATGTATGACATGTGTGAAACAACTGTCCACATAATTCATCATAAGCTTTGAACAAGAATGCTGTGTATAACATCTTATTTCACATATTTAGTACCGTCCAACACCATTTTCATTGTGATTCTTAAGAATTAAACTATTATGCAAACTTTACATTATGTCATTTGAAAGTCAAGAAATACCATATCTTTGTTCATGGCAAATACTTAATAGGATACCAGGTATGTGGGCTTCTCTCCAACATAATTTTGGTCCAACTATTTCCTGACATATAAGAATTCTCTCCTGCTTCTTGGTTCAGAAGTGTATTTTAATTATTCTGTCTTAGTCTGCCATACAGCATGCCACTGTCATATTTTCAGCAACAAACAAGCTGTGTATAAACGGTTATGTCAACCACATTTTCAGAAAATCGTCTGGTCTAAAATAGACCGCATGGCCTGACCTCTCACCAGTTTGTGTGAACAGATAACAGAACATTTTATCTGGCCTTGCGATCAAGTCTTGGAGAAGGCTGTACTGTAAGCCTTTGAAGAAGCTAGCCTGTATCTTTTAGCCTGTCACAAGGTTATGAAGTAGACTGTATGTTTTTGGCCTGATTACTTGAACGTCATCAAGCTCTATCATCTGGCCTGGACAAAAATTGATTCCTGAGGATGCAAACCAGCATCTTTCACTGTCATATCAAAATCCATGTAAGAGAGCTTCCTTTTAGGAAAGTTTGTAACAAGCTCAAATCGTTCATTAGGGTAACCTTGAGATCCAACATACAACACCAATGCCTGAAAAACACAACAAATACTTCAGTATACAACATTTGAAAGCATGATACACAAATTCTTATTTAAATGAAGGCTTATGGACCAAATTGTTTATTAGAATTTCCAAGAGGATTTGCCAACAGGTGCATGAGTCAGTTAATTCGGTCTAAAATTTCATTTAAAATTTATGATGCAATTTCATTTGGCAGAAATTACATACTGTGAAAATAAATATATCAACATATTAAATTCAATAACAGCTATTACATATTGGGTGTTGTTTCAAGTGCCACTGCAATATCTTTTTTCAACTTTAATTAATTGCTTACTAGATACAAAAGCCTTGCTGATGTACATGCAGCATGAGAAGAACAAAATTCACAGAGGAATACGTTTTAGCCTGAATGATGAACATTCTGCTGACAAAAAGAGGATCCTGACAAATTTTCATTTCTATCATCAGTGTCTAAGTAACATACCATCAGTTTAGAATTACAGGAAGTGAGCCATTGTTGTCGTTTTCCATCAGGATATCTGATCATCAGTGATGTCTGTGGATCTAAATAATGCAATAAAGTTGTTTTATACTTTCAAAGTCAGTTAAATATCTAATATCACATCTATACTATATACCATTTGATGTTTAATATCACATCTATACTATATACACTGTTATGTTTAATATCACATCTAAACTATATATCACGTGATGTTCAATGTAACATCTATACTATATACCTTGTGATGTTTAATATAACATCTGTACTATATACACTGTGATGTTTAATATCACATCTATACTATATATCACGTGATGTTTAATATCACATCTATACTATATACCCTGTGATGTTTAATATTACATCTAAACTATATATCACGTGATGTTTAATATTACATCTATACTATATACCCTGTGATGTTTAATATCACATCTATACTATATATCATGTGATGTTTAATATCACATCTGTACTATATACTCTGTGATGTTTAATATCACATCTTACTATATACACTGTGATGTTTTATATCACATCTATACTATATACCTTGTGATGTTTAATATCGCATCTGTACTGTATACACTGTGATGTTTAATATTACATCTGAACTATATACAATGTGATGTTTAATATCACATCTATACTATATACCCTGTGATGTTTAATATCACATCTATACTATATACCCTGTTTAATATCACATCTGTATTATATACACTGTGATGTTTAATATCACATCTATACTATATATCACATAATGTTTAATATCACATCTATACTATATATCACTGGATGTTTAATATAACATCTGTTCTATATACCCTGTGATGTTTAATATCACATCTATACTATATATCACTGGATGTTTAATATAACATCTGTTCTATATACCCTGTGATGTTTAATATCACATCTATACTATATATCACTGGATGTTTAATATAACATCTGTTCTATATACCCTGTGATGTTTAATATCACATCTATACTATATACACTGTGATGTTTAATATCACATCTATACTATATACACTGTGATGTTTAATATCACATCTATACTATATACACTGTGATGTTTAATATCACATCTATACTATATACACTGTGATGTTTAATATCACATCTGTATTATATACACTGAGATGTTTAATATCACATCTGTATTATATACACTGAGATGTTTAATATCACATCTATACTATATACCCTGTGATGAAAGGTGAAGTCAAACTTGTAGCAAATGGTGGCCCATAGATAACACACTAGGCTCTCACTTTGATGTCTGGGGTTTGATTCCCACATTTTCCCCTGTTACTCCTACTTCTTCCCACACTAAGACCTCTCACTTCTCCATTGGGCCAACAGAGGGATTGATGTAAGTAGGGATAACATGTATCAGTTGTCTTAATATTGATAAAACTTGATATCAATTTTAACCTTTAAAAGAATACCAGATAACAGAACTATGAGATTAATGGCATATTGTATGTGAGCAAGCAGAAATGATTTCTAATCCTTACTCAACATTTCTGTATCAAACAGGGAGCGTCCCTCACCTCGGAGTTGTCTCTATTATAATAATGTAATCAGTTTTGGATACCTAGGTATTAGTAGGCAATATCTCAATACTGTAATGTCATATTCAAATGTATGCATCATCAAACAGTAAAATGTACTGACTTCAGAAACCACAGAACAAGCTCTCTTACCGTCATCTTTTCCTAGGAAGGCCTTGTAACTGTCAGAGTTTATGTCTGTATCAGTACTTTGGGCTTTGTTGTTTACATTGTCACCTTCTGGAGAGACATCGTCTGACAGATCTATAGGCTGTTCCTCAGAAACATTTTTGACTTCCACGGAGGTATCCACACTGTTTGAGGAGTTGATAACATTGTCTGTTTTCTGTTTAGGTTCACATTTCATTGGCGAGTTTGTGGTTGAACTTTCCTCATCATCAGAATCTGTGAAAGTCTCGAGATCATTATCACTGTCAATGTCGGAGTCGGAGTCAATTATGACTGGGTTGGATGAGGTAGATTTGGTCAAGGATGCCTTGATAGCTGCTTGTAGTTGGGAGTCTTCACTGGCATCAACAATACTGGACACCTGTCAATCAAAGGAAATCAAAGTAAAATGTAAAGAATAATGCTGTACATAGTATTAATGAGTAACAATTCTAAATACAACAATGACTCAAACCACTGTGGGTAAGGATAGAGAGACCAGTGGATAAACACTGTGGTAAAGAATAGAGAGACCACTGGATAAACACTGGGTAAGGATAGAGAGACAACTGGATAAACACTGGGTAAGGATAGAGAGACAACTGGATAAACACTGGGTAAGGATAGAGAGACCAGTGGATAAACACTGTGGGTAAGGATAGAGAGACCACTGGATAAACACTGTGGGTAAGGATAGAGAGACCAGTGGATAAACACTGTGGGTAAGGATAGAGAGACCACTGGATAAACACTGTGGGTAAGGATAGAGAGACCACTGGATAAACACTGTGGGTAAGGATAGAGAGACCAGTGGATAAACACTGTGGGTAAGGATAGAGAGACCACTGAATAAACACTGTGGGTAAGGGTAGAGAGACCAGTGGTTAAACACTGTGGGTAAGGATAGAGAGACCACTGGATAAACACTGTGGGTAAGGATAGAGAGACCACTGGATAAACACTGTGGGTAAGGATAGAGAGACCAGTGGATAAACACTGTGGGTAAGGATAGAGAGACCACTGAATAAACACTGTGGGTAAGGATAGAGAGACCACTGGATAAACACTGTGGGTAAGGATAGAGAGACCACTGGATAAACACTGTGGGTAAGGATAGAGAGACCAGTGGATAAACACTGTGGGTAAGGATAGAGAGACCAGTGGATAAACACTGTGGGTAAGGATAGAGAGACCACTGGATAAACACTGTGGGTAAGGGTAGAGAGACTACTGGATAAACACTGTGGGTAAGGATAGAGAGACCAGTGGATAAACACTGTGGGTAAGGATAGAGAGACCAGTGGATAAACACTGTGGGTAAGGATAGAGAGACCACTGGATAAACACTGTGGGTAAGGATAGAGAGACCACTGGATAAACACTGTGGGTAAGGATAGAGAGACCACTGGATAAACACTGTGGGTAAGGATAGAGAGACCACTGGATAAACACTGTGGGTAAGGATAGAGAGACTACTAGATAAACACCGTGGGTAAGGATAGAGAGACCACTGGATAAACACTGTGGGTAAGGATAGAGAGACAAGAGGATAAACACTTGTTTTATAGCAGATGCTTGATTGTGCTATCACTTAAGAATATTTCCAATGAATTATCTTCTATGATATGAGAATCATACTTACCACAGACTATAAAACTATGATAACAGTTCTCTCTGAAAATGCTGATATATATCAATTAGCCGACCCATTTCTTTACTTACCCTGGGCCTTTTGGCAGGAGATGGGCTAGTTTCACTGTCACTACCACAGAAAGGGTTCTCTGCTAGAAATTCATTTGCTGTGAAGTGAAAATCCAGATGTTCTTTATTTTGTGAGAAATAGGCATTATGTAATAAAATTCAACAACATAACTGGTCTAACAACATTAATCTAACACTGTAAAGGACATTCATGGAATTTATCCTTGGTAATAATAATAGAATTTAACGGAGAGGGAGGTGGGGATATTGTATCAAAATGCTGCAGTACAATTATCTACAGTGTGTGCATGTCCCCAGAGAAACCATAAAAAGATCAAACTTTAAATACTTACCAAGCTCACAGAATATTATTGGGTCCAACTTATCCCAGGTAACCATATTTTCACCTTAAAAGGTAAACAATTAAATATTAAGAGGGACTCTCAAAAGCCAACAAATGACCATGTGATATACAAAAACACAGGACTTGGTACATCTCTAGAGATCTTACTGTGTAACTAGACCACAAAGTCATGGTTCTTATCAACAAAGACCTTGCTGAAATAAAATTTCTACTTAAAATATTTGCCAAACCACAACCGGTCTGGTAAGATTTACTGTTCATAAAGTTATAAGGGGTTATGGTATGTAAATTTTTTTTTAGGTTTCCCTGCCAATCCTTGTGTTCCAATCAGCGGCTACTTCCTGTCCTTAACAGTAAGATTCTACGTCAGGAGAAATGTTGTCTAATTATCTTCAAACATTTCAAGTATTCCCAATTATTAATATTATAATTATCAATTAGCAACCACTTAATTACAGGTATTTATTAAGGTGAGAACTTTACCTGTACGTGGGTCTATGATGGAGACATAGGGCCAGTTGTTCACCTTGTAGAACTGAGTATATTTACCACCTTCTTCACTGTCATGGTAGACCTGAGGGAGAAAGTACCACAGTTCTTACACAAACAGGTCTACAGTTTAATAATGTTGGTGGGAAAATCAAAAAATATATCATACTTTAGGAGGAAGATTTTATAGTATCTAATGAAAGATTTAACAAAAATGAAACACAATAAGAAATCAACTCCCACTAAATCACATATAACTAAAGTACATTGATACATAAGTAGATAAGGGGAGATGACTTTGACAAAACAAAACAAATGCAAAATTTTCATCAATTAAAATATATATATTCGTCATTTTTTTTTTTAAAATTGAAATTGAATTAACTATGCCTCTGTTCATGTCAATTAGTTGTTTTTACAATCAAACCTCATTATCTTGCACTCTGAAAGCTTGCAAACCCTGTTTAATATTGAGCTGTTTAGTCCCAGCAAAACCTATTCATTCTTTCTATGTCAATTAAGAATTTATAACTTGATAAATTGATTAACTTCAATGTTTTTCATAATGCATTGTGCCATGAGATAACAACAATTTACTTCAAACTGACAAATAGTACATGTATTGTCTACGTTTTTGTCTTCAAGAAGTCTGTTGATATTAAACACATAATTACAAAATGATGATAAATCTCTATTTTTCACACCGATATTCTTTCTAGTAAGAAAACCAGATATGATTTATCATAAATCAGTCTTCTGATACCAAGATGAAGCTGTCTAGTCCAACAATTATGTGAGTAAAAATGATAGAATAATATTGAGAGGAAGGGGCAATGTAAATCTAAAACTCTTTTAAAACAATAAATCTCAAATATTTGCAAAAGAAAAAGACTTTTCCTATTATGGTATTAGTCGTTTTATTAAGAGATCACTAGGATGACTGTGACAACCCAAGGCAACACTATTCATCAAGTAGTCTATTCTTACCTGCCAGAATATAAATTTTGATTTGATGATACTTTTCACACTGCTGTTGCTCCATACGTCACGGTTGAGAGCCTGACAGGCAAACTCCTGTACATTCTGTATGTTCACCATCAGCCATTTCTGGCAGGTCTTACCATGTTCTCGAGCCTTTAATAAACCAATATATTCTCTCAGTCAGGAAACAAATAAGGTTGTAAGATTGACACGGGATAAAACTGGATACAAGGACATATCTCCAGTAAACTGTATGTTCACTTGTCTTCACACAGTCTTAAATTATTTTTCATGTGACATGTACATATACAATTGGCCACTGACAGGTAAACACTTTTCAGGAGATTAGTAATATATTTTCCAAATGTGAGCATGAGAAATGTTTTCTTCTGTAAGTCTGTATAATCATTTAAACATATTTCAAAGATGCCCAGCTGTCCATTCTTATTTACATTCCTTGCATTTAAAATTTTTTCGACATGCTTAACATCTAACATGTAAACAGCCTAATAAAAATTTGACATCTATACTTCACAAAAATATTTCCTTTTGTGACTTACATTGGCAAAGCTGCCTTTGAACATGACATCAATAGGTGGACGAAATAAGTCCTCCAGGGTCTGTCTCTTTGAGTGGAAAGTGGATGCTCCAGCTGTCATCATTTCTTCCTGTTGTTCTGGACAAGGAAAAGAGAGTTTGTACACTAATCCAAGTAAGCTCTTATAAACAATGAAAAATTAATTAAATCAGAGAATGTATAATAATGTAAATGACCATTCCCACAGGCAGGACAGTGTTACTGTGTAACAAAGGTGAATACGACCTCAGAACACTGTAATACAAACTCTGAAAAGTTATTCATGACCTCAACAGAAGCAACATGACAAATGATATTGATTAAGAATGCATGGTGGTAAAGATCGAATGCAAAGGCACAGATATGGTAAACACACTAAATGCTGTTTATTATGTCCAGAACATACAGCTTATTAGTGATTACACTTATTCTGCTGTCATCACTTACTGGCTTCAGCTTGAAAGTCTCTAAATCCATCGAAAACAGATCGGGCTTTTCGTCTTCTTCCGTGAAATCCTAAAAATAATAGCAACGTATGTCTAATCATGTAGAACTATGTAGTTACATCAAACAACAATAAATCATAAAAATTTAGTAAAGATTTACTTTATTTGAACCACGACAACCTGATATTGTCACGCCAACCTGATATTGTCACGACAACCTGATATTGATCATATTGATTTGCTATTGATCATAATGTGACCTGCTCAAATTATTAATAAAACTAGTCACCTGATATTTTTTTTGTTTGAACAGTATTTCAAAATATCCAGATCAATTTCTGGATCTAATATAGTCTAAATCATCCTCAAACATAACCTAAAACATCATCTAAATTATTGATTACAAGGTCTTTCCTGTAGATGGCCCTTTCATGCACTCTGAGGTAATTCAGTGTTACAAGATTTTGATTTTGAATGGCTATGAACAGATACAACAAGATGACTAGAACTTGACAACAATGTCATGATACAATGAAGTATATTTTTACATTTTGCTTTTGTGATTTTGTTCTGAGAATGATTTTTAAAAAAAAAACTTCTAAAACCACACAAAATACGCCATCTAAATTACACAAAATTACACAAAGTAAGTGTTGTAATTCAGTAAATGATGAAGTATGTGACCGTGTTTCAGAACACAGCAATCTGCCGTTCAAAAAGTAAATGCACTTGCTTACAGAATTGTAGCAGTTGTCAGTAAAAAGCTACAACAGAATGACTTCTTGCTAGTAAGAAAGAACTAGGTAATTTCCCCTCAGCCTGCATCAGTGCTGGACAAATCCTGATGACTACTGTACATATCTATGGAAGGGATTGATCTACACCATACTCTGAGGTAATTCAGTGTTACAAGATCAAATAATTTATAAACTTACTTTAAAATTCATTATGTGTATATAAAATACTACTCTGTTTTTTACTTCTGAAATATTGATTGCTTGTAAGGATCTTTAGATCTATCAGCCCTGTGTGACATTGTTCATATCATTATTGAAAAGTTCATCACATGACAGGAAACAGCAATAACAAAGACTGCATGCAAGTAGTGAAACAGTGACTTAAAGGTGATACAGATGAATGGGTAGTCAGCTCATGCCACTGTAAACAAACAGATGGTAAGGTTCTGTATACAGTAAGCATACAAAGCTCCAAACTACAAAGATACCAGCTTTTCTAGAGCAGTGAAAGCATGTTTCCTACTGCTAAACTAGACAACGCGTGTGCAGAGAGATCTAACTCGTAGCCAAGAGCAACACTTTATATTTGTAAGACAGTCTATTTTCTATTGAATACAACAGAAACAACAATTCGAGAAATCAAAAAGTGTAATTCAGGATGGTTATAAAAAAAGTCAGTTTGTTACTTGCATCTATCAGTAATATCAAAACAAGGCAGGATATTGTTAGCTATCCACAGTTCCTATTTCTGACCACACAAATAAAGTCAGCAATGGGATAGTATTGTGTACACCACGGGACACAAGATATTTCAGTATGCGACACTGTCGTAGTAAAAAGTACATGATAATGTAAAAAAGTACCAATATGGAAAATGACCCTGACAAAGTAGCTTACATTAAAAAAAGGAAATAACTCTGATTTTTTTTCCTTTTTTTTTTAATTTTAAAAATCTGATGAGGCAATAAAAAGAAAATTAACTTGAGGCAAATCTTGGACCATCAAAAAGGTAAGTCCCACAGCATATCCAAATTCCACTTTTTGATAAAATACTTCCTAATTTCCCTGGGAAATGAATCACACATCCCAAATCTACCCTCAGACCAATTATCAATAACCTAGTACACATATTTCATTAATATACGAGAGCACTTCCTAACTTGCTGCAAAAGCTTAACCTATCGGGCAATGCCATCACTACATTGATGCCAGATTAATTCTATATGCCCCCTTTCCTTCGAACAGACATGTTAATAAGGTCCTTACATGCAAAATCTGTCATTGATGAAACATGATGAGAATTCACCTGAATATATTTATGCACAATTTTATGAGTACAATGTAACTGATGGCGCACACTGAAGCTGTGATGGTATATAAGGCAGTGTCTAAACGGAACATTTCGATATGGCATAGTCAGCTAAAGATAAATATAAATAAAAAACATATAAGGCCTAGCAGCACATAGAAGCAAACGATGAGGGACCAACCAACCTAGGTCATCATCCGACATCTGGCCACTGTAGTGAGCCAGTCCTGTAATGTAATATATATACATACACAAGTATACTGACAGTGATAGAAGAACACAGATATATCAGGATAGCAATACCACTGCACTGGTTCACATAATGAACATGTGTCTGAATTTAAACACTTTAATTCTTTCAACCATTAAGTTCAACATAAGTTTAAACATTCTGCATGTTCATAACTGTGATCTTCCAAGAATAACTAGAGAGATTTTTTATTGTTACAATTACAATGTCATATTATTGATTCAAGTTTTCAGTATAAAATTCAACACATAAAAACTCTACAATTATATATATTTTCATATATCATGTTCACATCAGATTACTATTCTATCATACCCGCCATTTGATGAAACAACTTCATTCGGATTATGTTTCTGTACATTATCAATAGTTATTGTCACTCAGAACCAGGAAGTGTTGGACACAGTGAAAATTAGGAGAACTCATTTAATGGTTTGTTTGTTGGGTGCATCACCCGTGAACAGCCAGGGTCATGAGACAGTGTATCCTTGTAGTAGCTGGTAGCTACCTCAATGACCAGTATACAAGAGGCCTGCCACAGCAATTAAAGTGTCTGGACCAAGGACACAACCACATCAGCAGAAACTGGTCCATTTCTCAGCCTCCTGAGAAACACAAATGGCCAAGAGTAGTGGAGCATTGAATTACTTAGCACCTCAGATCTCCAACCAAGTTACGTAGGCCAACGCTCTCACCAACTAACCTATCACAGCCTGACGGAGAACTCAATTTACCTGAGATACAGAGTTAAGTCTTTTATCTGCAGTATTAACAGCAAACAGAAGTTCTGTTGTTGCTGGTTTTAATTTACAAGTGTGCTACTCTGACTACAATACAATTAATCTATTATGTAAACTAGTGAAGCTTAAACACTGTGATGCAACTAAATGCTAATACTACCTAATGGTAATGTAGCATCAATAGGTATATGTAAATAACATGGCAAGCAAAAAACTTATCATGGTTTACGTTTTGAGTGCACATGTACCGATTGTATGGAAAGGGTGATAGATGTTACATCTTGGAAATGAAAACATTTTCATGATTATTTTTGTTTTAAATGTTATTCCTGTCACTGATCCTGGAGCAGCAAAATCAGTCTTTTTCCACAGATGATCTGATTCATATGGGTTTTTTTTAAATGACACCTTGATAACAAACTAAGTGGCACATTTTTACCTGGATCTACTATTTCATAAATCTCTCCTATTTCTGCCACATAAACATATGACACTACATAAATCTTGATGATATAACAGTGGAATGTTTTATCAACAGCCTCATGATCTGTACACAGCATCTTTTCTTAAAATATCTATGAACAGAACAAAGGAATGTTGTTCTGCTTCATGGATGTGTGTGACTTGGAAATCAGATGAGCATATCATAACAAGACATTATAGATTGTATGTAATTTTCTGCTTTCAATGAAATGTATGCAATTAATTTTTGGCTACATACTGGAGCATCGCCATCCTTCTGACTGGTGTTAGACTAACTATAAATAACAAGTAATTGTATGGTTCAACAGATCTTCTCAATTCCAGTAGCACTGTAACATGTAATCAATTATATGGATAAAAGTATAGAAGTTACCAAATCCAGCTGGTGTTTCCTCCACTAGTGTTTCATTCCTCTGTGGAATTGGAGCTCTCACATCTCTATTAATGAAAGAAACCATACAATAGAAAGATGTCATGAATTTAAATAAATGAAACATTTTATTTCATATATTGCACAGGATTTCAGTTCTCTTATATGAAGACGTTTTATACATTCTATGGCATTTTTAAGAGGTTTAAAGACAAAAGAATGCATTTCAAAGTGATACAATTATTAGAAAAATAACTGCTCAAAACATGAGATGACTTTGTAGTGTTATCAATGCTGACAAGATTCCTGCTGAACAGATGGTTCTTTTTAATGTAACTTACTCCTCCTCCTCGACCACCTGTTCTGTAGCTGCCTGTGATGAAGAACCTCTTGCTCCTGAAGAGGATGCAGATGGCTGTGGTCCACTGTGACACATCTCTCCACCATCCATGTGCATCTCAATGGCCAGCTGAATGTTTCCATTGCAGGCTTCCAACATTCGCTCTGCCACATTTTCTTCAGCACCTTCAACATAAAAGTAACAAATATTATGAAATAAGATTCAACTCATTTTCACCTGATGTGATCATTTTTGTCAAGTAATGATTAAAATACTGTTGCAAAATTTGTCTTGGTAATATCATACATAAAAATTTAAATTACCCTTTTACAAACAGGAAACGCTATCTGAACAAAATGAAGACTTCTGTTTTATTTCCCTAAAGTGATCATGAGTTGCAATAATAGAATGAATTATTTTAGCCTTTATTACATACACTTGTGAAACTGATTATGCATTATCAACTGTTAATAGTACACACATCACTTGTGTATATATAATGAATCATAATGGCTAACACTAAATCCCGTGTTACTATATTAAGAGAACTTTCATAGTGATATACTTTACTAAAACTGCTGATGTACATGAACTGGGGTTGGAGCTGAATACCAATTTTTTGGCAAAAGTCAGTCAAAAGAGTGTTTTATTCAGTACTGTAAAATCAACATTTAATTTAATGGTGTAACCAATTCTATTTTCTTTTAACAGACACATCATTTTGGTTGTGTAGATAGCATTTTTTTGTTTTTAACATTTAACCTTTTCAAATAAAAAACTGGAGTTCATGTTAACAGTTATGTCTATATTTCTTATAAAGTATGGTGAAGATATCTAAATACACATAATTGTATTTTTACCTACATTCTACAGCTCAATACCTAACACGACATGCCAATGTATACGTGAAAGATCCTGAAAAGTACTCAATTCTGCTTGAAAGGGGAAATATTTCTACTATTGCTGGTCCAAATCGATAATCAATCATACAGTACTAGTGTGGAATATGATGACTTGATAGATAGATCTAAATCAAATCATAATATTGAGTTGGTCATAAAGCAAAATGCACCAACGTCATGATTATTTCTGCATCCACATTTAGGTCAGATTTTGAAGATGCCATCACTTGGCCTAGTCTACTTTGAGCTTCCGTCATTTATTTTTGTTAATCTAAAGAGGAGGGTAAAAAGTGAACAATGCATGATTTTATATTCGTCGGGATTGAATAAGAGACATGTGATCGCATCTTTTGGTTTGATTAAAGACCTGTGATTGAGCAAAACTGCTCAACTTCTGCCGCTGTCCACTTCGACGCGGCTTTCTTGGAAGCCATTCTTCCTTCGCGCTGAATCCAAGTTTCTTACCTCCAATAACAAAGAGCTAAGATAACATAACATAGAAGATATACGATGCCAGGTACCATAACCGCAATGGACTTACGCCTCTTGATGTGCCAATAGTTTTACAGTATTTTGATAGGGTTCGACGCCCAGCTGGGACACTTCTCTTAAAACTTAAAATTTAGGCTTTTTTAATAATAGTATTAATATTAAACAGACAATGCCTGAACTGAACAGCAGTATTTGTATAGATCCTCGTCATTTATTGTCATCCACGTATACCTGTTATGTTATATTTCTGTTTTCCCATTGTACCCTTTTTTCAATACGTATATTAAATCGTCCTCTTAACTCATACTTTTTAAGGATACTTTCATTCCGATATTTTAGATAATAGATACTTGCTAACATAATGAAGTATATCAGCGTTTCCTGTCTGAAGAAAATAAGCTCGATAGGAAGTGATTTATTATGTTTATTTTTAATACATTATGTTTGCTTACATTTGAAAAAGATTTCTGCATCGCATGTCGATTAGGAAATGGTTTATACCCATCTATCAGGTATATGATGTTTCAGAATATATATGCTGTTAGATTTTTGGAAATGATAGTCTTTCCTGTTCTCTGTACGATCAAGTACCGAATTTCAAATACCATCAATCTGTGTATGAAGAAGAGTCGCATGTAACAAAGGTCCGGACAGATGAACAGACAGACACAGTGATTCCTACATGTTCATTACCCAACTCCGCGCACTTATTTGTTTTTTTTTTTTTTTTTTTGTAATAGAACACAAATAAAAGTTTGGTAATTTTCTGCCAAAGCAACGCAGAGTTATAACATTGGAAGAATCTTTGTCATGGCAGTATTTTCTATGACATGTGAACTAAGTTAATAAATTTCATCGCACCTGCCATCTTCCCAGGAGGCATCACAGGAAGTTATATATTGTCACGTGTCTTAGGCGAGGTAGCCTCAGTGCAGTAGTAGTGTTACGTTGGGGATCGCCAGCAACAAAACTTCTATTATTCGAGTTTGTTTACCCAAAATGTTAAAAGAAAGGACCGTGGTAATAAACAGGGACGGTCGGGAAACAAATGCATTGTCTTCCTTATGAGATTTTACGGTCGTCATAAATGCAAAGATCTCATCGAGAAATATTATATTTCTTTAAATGATATGATGTTTGACATGTTTGATAGCCGTTAGTGTGCCTAGTGGTTCCGTTGTTGTTCACCATGTTCTCGTTTTCGTTTGGATCGTGACATTTCTCACTTTGATTGACCAAGGTTTAAACGGCAGATGTCGAAGACGCTTACCATTCTGGACCACCTTGTCTTATTCTTGTATTCATTTTCGTATTTTTCATTCATTTTATCAAATTTGAGTTCTAAGATTCTGTTGACATGTCAGTATTTTTTTAATTATATGAACTATTGCTCTGCGTTCCATTATTATTATTTTTTCCGTAGGTTACATGTAATTTGGATTCGTATCATGAGAGAAAAAGCGCTGCTTTTGTGATGTACGTTTTCTTAAACGAATATTAAAACTAGGTCCTATTTGGATATAACAAGAAAATGATTACGAAATTTAGGTTTATTTTCTTTAATAGGAAGTTTAATACATACTCTTTTAGGTATACCAAGCAGGTTTGAACGTAGATATTAGTAAAGCCGCGATTTTAAATTAGACTGTCCACACGGAAACACCAACTTAAAGATTCTAACAGAAAATTATATATACACAACAAATACTGTCATTGGATTAATGAATACACGTATCTTTACAAAAAAAAATGAAAATTTACAGGTCGGTGAAATGGTCATATTCGGATGACGTTTTCCCGTTCCAAATATTGACCTACCGATTAATAATCGTTCCCTATAGTTTACACTTAATTTAGATGTAAACTTTATGTATGTTAAGTGACACAAATTTAACATTCCTTTAAATATATACTATTGAATAACTTAGGTATAATTCCAATCTGAAGTATCACAAGTTATGTCCCTATTTCATCATATATTTGTCTTGTTACTGTTACAATTTTTGTTCACGTGAGATAGAACTTTTTTTTGTATTACATATCTGTGATGTAACGTATTGGAACGTCAGGGTTAGACAATAAAATGAGGTCACATCCACATTGTAATGTGATGCAACAAGAAGCCAGATACATTTTTTACCATATTTACCTGAATTATCGATTGTCTGATAAAACTGATGATCTTAAACTCGTTTAAATTTGATAAGCATTCCCATTTCCGGTGTAGACAGTGTATTTGGAACCATGCCAGATATTTTTTGGCCTTGAGATAACGGATTAACAACAGAGATCATTATATGTTTATTATAGAACATGGAACAGTTGTTTAAGTTGTAAATAACACGACAGAAAACATTGATTTTTTAATTATCATTCAACAAGTCATAAAATATTGTTTTGTGATCAAAATATACAAAGGCAACAATGTACAATAAACCATATAGGTGTCACAAGGACAGATAAAAATATACAGAAAATTATCAAACATAGGAACATCGAGATTATCAAATAACCAGATATAATATGGTCAAGTTGATAGTACTGTCTGTAAAACATCATCACCATGACAGACATGTTGTACTGTCTGTAAAACATCATCACCATGACAGACATGTTGTACTGTCTGTAAAACATCATCACCATGACAGACATGTTGTACTGTCTGTAAAACATCATCACCATGACCGACATGTTGTACTGTCTGTAAAACATCATCACCATGAAAGACATGTTGTACTGCCTTGTAAAACATCATCACCATGACAGACATGTTGTACTGTCTGTAAAACATCATCACCATGACAGACATGTTGTACTGTCTGTAAAACATCATCACCATGACCGACATGTTGTACTGTCTGTAAAACATCATCACCATGAAAGACATGTTGTACTGTCTGTAAAACATCATCACCATGACTGACAGGTTGTACTGTCTGTAAAACATCATCACCATGACAGACATGTTGTACTGTCTGTAAAACATCATCACCATGACCGACATGTTGTACTGTCTGTAAAACATCATCACCATGACAGACATGTTGTACTGTCTGTAAAACATCATCACCATGACCGACATGTTGTACTGTCTGTAAAACATCATCACCATGAAAGACATGTTGTACTGTCTGTAAAACATCATCACCATGACAGACATGTTGTTCTGTCTGTAAAACATCATCACCATGACAGACATGTTGTACTGTCTGTAAAACATCATCACCATGACTGACATGTTGTACTGTCTGTAAAATATCATCACCATGACCGACATGTTGTACTCCACATGTTGTACTGTCTGTAAAATATCATCATGTTGTACTGTCTGTAAAATATCATCACCACGAAAGACATGTTGTACTGTCTGTAAAACATCATCACCATGACAGACATGTTGTACTGTCTGTAAAACATCATCACCATGACTGACATGTTGTACTGTCTGTAAAACATCATCACCATGAAAGACATGTTGTACTGTCTGTAAAACATCATCACCATGAAAGACATGTTGTACTGTCTGTAAAACATCATCACCATGACAGACATGTTGTACTGTCTGTAAAACATCATCACCATGACAGACATGTTGTACTGTCTGTAAAACATCATCACCATGAAAGACATGTTGTACTGTCTGTAAAACATCATCACCATGACAGACATGTTGTACTGTCTGTAAAACATCATCACCATGACAGACATGTTGTACTGTCTGTAAAACATCATCACCATGACTGACATGTTGTACTGTCTGTAAAACATCATCACCATGAAAGACATGTTGTACATCACACCATGTTGTACTGTCTGTAAAACATCATCACCATGACCATGTTGTATGTCTGTACATCATCACCATGACCACATGTTGTACTGTCTGTAAAACATCATCACCATGACAGACATGTTGTACTGACATGTTGTACTGTCTGTAAAACATCATCACCATGACCGACATGTTGTACTGTCTGTAAAACATCATCACCATGACCGACATGTTGTACTGTCTGTAAAACATCATCACCATGACCGACATGTTGTACTGTCTGTAAAACATCATCACCATGACAGACATGTTGTACTGTCTGTAAAACATCATCACCATGAAAGACATGTTGTACTGTCTGTAAAACATCATCACCATGACAGACATGTTGTACTGTCTGTAAAACATCATCACCATGACTGACATGTTGTACTGTCTGTAAAACATCATCACCATGACTGACATGTTGTACTGTCTGTAAAACATCATCACCATGAAAGACATGTTGTACTGTCTGTAAAACATCATCACCATGACTGACAGGTTGTACTGTCTGTAAAACATCATCACCATGAAAGACATGTAGAGTAGTTTCAATATCTAAAGATGAAATAAAATAAATATAAACTAGATGAAATAACTATAGGTCACTAATGTTGTTGGCCCTGAAACTGAAATTACAGCATTGATATTTTGGCAAGGTTAGAATCACTCAAATACTGGTCTGGTTAGGTTAAATAGTTATTGTAAAATAAAAAACAACAGCTTTGGGATGAACATTTCTTATATACGAATGGATAGATTCGGGTTGCAACTTATTTCAATTTTCAGATCCCACTAAACTATAATTTTTATACTGTGTGATTATGGTGTTAACTGTATCACAATGTCACATCTCAGGTACTGTGGCATATTACAACACAATGTCATACTGAAAGGAAACCTGTCTCTATAGCTCGCTATAGACCTAATAGTGTATAGGATGGACTTGGTTGTTTACCGGAAACTGTTTGAAATAATTTTTTTGATAATGTGTTGTTTTAATGAGGGAGTCACACGTAGTTGTTCTCGGATGAGATGAGTAAATCAACCAACGAAATTCAACCAAACATTTCAAAGTTAAAATAATATCCTGGTCCATGTCTTCATCGCTTTTGTTGGCTATCTTTGGTGATCTTACACCTGCCAGAATCACAGTCATCATCTTTGTTTTCCCCAAGTCTTCCAGTCAACCAAAACCTATTGAGAGCGAACCAACGGTATGCAGAGTCTGCAACCCACTTTATTCCTGGTAGCTCCGTCCAAGCTACCACCCAGCCAAAGCCCACAGCACGGTAAAGTTCACGAGTTCCATCCATCCCCACGTACAACTGCAAACAAAATATACACAAATGTTACTTTCTACCTCTTGTAACAGAAAGACAGGTTATGAAGCAATTTGTGACTTGGGTCTCTGTTTCACAAACATTCCTTGAGGACATCCCAAAATTTTGTTATTCACCCCTAAAACATTATTGAAAAATTTTACATTTCCATAACTCAGTCAAAACTTAATTATAAAGCTAAGAACAATAGTAATCTTATAAAGCATCATTACCTTTATACTAAATGTACCTGTTAATGTTTGAATTTCAGTAGATCCCAGTTTTATCAAACCCAGATCTCTCATTTCCCTTTGTACTACAGAGTACCTTGATACAAGAGGATCAGATGGTAAATCCTACTGTTCGTATGACCTAGGATTAATTAAACTTCAAGCAGTCAATCAAAAAACATGCTGCCTTGTAAAAGGAAGTAAGAGAAGAGAGAAATCTTACTTTAATTAGAGTACACCCAAAATATGTATCTTTTTAAAATTTTATGTGTAGAACGTGCAATGCTAGATGATATATTGATACCTTTTTGTCTGGTGATATGACGTGTAATGCTCCCATAGCATCCTCATATTGTATGCCCTGGTGGTCTGCTGGATTGTAATTTCCTTTCGTAATATCAAAAAAGTTCACGGAGCCACGATTAAACTTCCGTAAAAGGTCAACCTCTTTTACACAAAGTGGACACTTTCCATCATACAATACCTACAGGAATACAAGAAATCAAAAGTTAATATGAAAAAAAGACAATAACATATGTGTAACTGATGACCAGAATTCACAGTCACTTCTATCTGTTTATAATACCCGTACATTGCACATATCTTCTTTCCATTCTCTAAAGTGAAATATATAAAGGCCTATGTAGCATTAATAAAAGTTTTTTTTATTCTTATACAGACTAGGTAAAATGAAAAGTTCATAAGGTTCATTAATAAATCTCACGTGAAGTGATATATAGATATATTTATATCGTATTATTTGATTACTCACCCAACAGAAAAATGTTTGCAAACATTTATGAAAATAAATAAACTAAGCTTCATATATTTGGTGACATCGTAAGGAAAGTGATGTCATGAAGTTATGAATGTCACGGATGTGACACGTGTTACTTTGATAAGAGAGCAGTAATGTGCAAAACTGAGGGACTTACATGATCGATTCCATACATGGTTAATGGAAAAAGTCTGATTTTTGTGACGACTTTCATCAATCTCGTATGAAAAGATGAAATGTCAGATTCTTTACTACTCAGCATTTTACTCATGGGTTACGAAGACTAGTATTCATTTTACCAGATTTAAGTCATTAGATATTGCGTATATAAATCAAATCAGTGATATCAATATTCAAATTCACACATTCATTATTTGGTATAATCGACGATACGAATGAAAAAAACTTCGTTCTTGGTGAGCATTACCACATGTACTTATGGAGTCAATTTCAGCAGCACTTAAAAATAAATAACAAACCACACAATAACCTTAGTAGTTTCTATATATATAAGTGCTATTGAAATCGAGTCCACAAGTACTTGTGATTACTACTACACCAGGGGATCACAAGCCTCACAGAAGTCTGCTTTCATTTCCCCACACACCATACGGTTATACAATGACTCTGCAACCGCATACTGAACAGCTAAATGCCGTAGACCAATACCTTGTGAATGGGTTCAGCAGAATTTGATGACCGATGTCGTTGTTGTTTGTCATGCAGGCCTAACGACGTCAACGCCGGTAAACTTCGTGCCCTGAACAAACGTCCAGATGATGTAACCAATTTACTAAGTGAAGAATATCTAAACATACTTGGGAGGGTAACTGAGCCCATGTTCAATACTCGGCACAGCTTAAAAACGTTGTTAACTCGTTGCTTATGAAACAATATATATTTTCACGAAACATTTATGTTGGAAATGCCCGAGGAGTTCCGAATATAAAAATAGCCTGGTGAATAGGGACGTGTAATCAGTACTTAACCCAAAGAATGCAGCGTTATAATTACTCCGAATTACGACAACTCCAAAACGTATACTAGTTATATTAGTCTATGTTATTATTACTAGAATAATCTGACTTCATCGCTCGTCTTTGTTAGCAGCATCAGATTTCTTTACGTATTTGATCATCACATAACGACATACCACTAAACATTTCCGCATGCGCACTGCATGATCACATTTAGTAGCTTTCCTCACACGTGTGTAGCTGCAGTTTCCGCTGTAGAGGGGTTCAATCTTTTGGCATTTCAATGGGTCTAATTCAAAATTCAACACGTGTGTATTTCGATAAAACTCTGTTCTCGTAGTGAATCATCAAAATGACCTCCTCAGTTGAAGCTGTAATGAGGAAAAAACGGCGCGATTGAGTCTTGCTGTTTTGGTTCAAGTCTTGGAAACGTCCGAGATAAAACAGTAATCTTTGATGACATATAGTTTTCAATCCGAACGGTTTGGGGAGGTCATGGTGTGGCAACTGCGATGATGGGAGGGGGTGGGGACCACCTATGATGAGTTTAAGGCGAATGCGAAGGTTGGTGCTCGGATAGTCTTCTTTGACGGTCCTTGTAGCCCACCTAGGGAGCTGTATTTCTGTCTGAGGTGGTACCACAAGCTAGTGGGTTAGGAATTCGTTTATCTGCTGGAAGTATTCCTAAACGAGCCATTCAGGATAGCCTCTGCATACATATTATGAGTATATTAAAGGACAGACCAGTTTTCGTTTTCAGATTTGAACGAAATCGAGTCATTTCGGTAACCTGTCGTTTTGTCCCTGAACAGTTGAACACTGGTTCTAGCCCAGCCTCGTCTGTACCTCTGGTACACAAACTTGTTTTGTTGTACTATTAAATATGTAATGGGAAGGAGTAATGAATAGCACCCTGTCACCGCTGGGGTTCGAACTAGTGACCCTTCAGTCTCGAGCAGGACAATCTCCTGCTCGACTGCAAAGGTGACCTATACTCTCAACTTCAACAAATCGGAAGCATGGATGGTACCGACATTTTGATTTCTGTCTAGTTTAAACTAAGCCTGTGGAGACTTTTATTATTACTAGCAGCACACCTATAGTGTTACATTTTATAAAGTTAAAACTTCCTGCATTTGCCAAGGCCTCAAATTGATGTTTAGTCCAGAGGACTGGACACTTAAATGAAAATATATATGATGTGGCACCATCCATCAATACTATCCTAGTCTGGCTGAGGGATCGTCACATTAATGAAACCAGACAATAGCTTCATATTTTAGTCCCAGATGATTGAAAATTTCATTTACTGACCTGTATGATTGGAGGTCAATACTTACAAATAATGCTGGATTGTTGAAGATCTTCACAATTACAAAAAAACAGTTACAGATATGTTCATGTGTATGCAAACCATAATGGTGTGATGTTTGAAACTTTTCTATTTGAATGCAAGCAAGCGCTGAAATAAGTCCCTAGGGATAGTGACCTATACCCATACATTTACCTTGGGAATTGGAGAGCTGATCTTCTACATGGCCAATAGGAAATTGAGACCCGTTTCCATACATAGCCCAGAGGGATGGCAACTTTTCATACATGTTCCCCGAGGGGATGGAAGCCTGTTCTCGTACATTGGTCCCTGGAGATAGAGGTCTGCTCTAACACATCGCCACTGGGGGATGAAGGCCTGTGCTAACACATTGCCCCAAGGGGATAGAGGCCTGTTCTAACATTACCTGAGGGGGATGGAGGCCTGTTATTACACATCACCCCTGAGAGGTGGAGGTCTGTTCTCATACATGGCCCCTGAGAGGAGGAGACTGGTAATCTTGTACGAACCTTGGAGAGATTTAGACCTGTCCTTTTACATGGCCCCTGGGGATGGTGGCCTGAACCCTCACAAGGACCATTGGGATGGAGACCAGTACCTATACTATACTCCTGAAAATGGAGACTTGATTCCATACATGGAATCTGAGGATGAAGATCTGTCCTCATATATAGACCCTGGGGGATGGAAATGTGCCTGTACTGGGTCCTGGATAATGCAGCCCTGAACCCATAATTGGACCCTTGGGGATAGTGACCTGTCCTTATACATGACCCATGGGGATGGTGGCCTGAACCCATATATGGAACTTGGGGATGCAGACTTGTACCCAAAAATGGACCCTGGGGCTTTGAAACCTGTTCTCATACATGGAACCTGGGGGACAGAGTTCCTTATCCATACATAGATCCTAGGGATGGAGAATTTAATCTGTATTTGGTCCCTGGGGAGGGTGACTTCACTCCTACAAACATAGACCTTGGAGATGGAGATCTGTGTAATGTCACATTTCATTGATATTTTAAGTCTTCCTGCAACATACAGTTGGAGCACTAGTATTATGAAAACTCCTATTTTGTTTCAAGTAAATCAACATCCAGATGCATATTCAGTCATTTATTTCTCCTTCAACAATAGTCTACCTGTGGATTTATATTTGTATATTTCAACAATTAGATTGCATATCAATAAATTATTGTACAATAAAATTCGGTCACAGAAAGTTCACAAAGTATAGGCTATTTTCATTGATACATCTAGTTATTGTATGAAAGTGATTTTATCAACCTGAGACAAAAATATCAACCAAGTTAAAGTCCGAGGTCAATATTATTCCATGGTAGATAAAACCATTATTGAAATGAAAAGGTTATATTAATTTTTGCAACATAATTTAAGAAGAGGCATGTAGCCAACTCTGGTCCATCTTGAAAGGTGGATACAGATACTAGCTTCCTTGGATAACTATAGTGATCAATCACAACAGGCACAGAGGTTAGGATTCGTGGGAAAACTTGGATGTTTTGAAAAGGCCAAAGCAGGGCAAATCCTATTGACAAATCAATGAACCTAACCTCCCTGCTTGTGATTGTTCTTGACTTGCCAAACTGTAATACTGTAATAGATTGTGCCATAACGGTAGACATCTCTGAAATCAGTAATATTTCTTAATAATCCATTTGGAATAAAACACCAAAACCTTGCAAACTAATTTTGTAGTGAAATACATACAATTCATTGTAAAAGGTATCGTATTGCATGCAAAAAATTGTATAATGGCATAAATCAAAACAATATGGAAAAGGAAACATCAAAATTTCATTGAATTAAAACATGTATTTTATAGATTGGTATTTAGTAGCATAGGAAGACAATTAAATACTTCTTGTAAAATGAATAAAACTTCTTAAAAAAGGGGCAATAAGGTTTATATATCATCAGGGCAGCAGTCTTTACTGAAAGATTGTGTGCTGAAAAAAGTACCGCCTATGAATAAACCTGTATTACGCCCACAAGGGTAATATCTAAAGAGCCAAAAAAAAAATGAAAGTTTTAGGAGACATACAGGCTTTTGTTGAATTAAACACACCCCCCCCCCCCCCCCCCCCCCCTCTCTCTCCTTCCTGTAAGTGTAACATCTATCCATTTGCCATTATCAAGTATAATGGTTTTTCACCTTCAATATACATGGTAACTACCCTATATCTTCCCTCCTATTGACCAAACTATACACAAAGTGGGTGTAAATCATTTTTCATGGCATTCACACATATCACTAGATCTATTGCTTCCGTATGGAAAGGGACATAACCCCTAAATTCCCCAACTATTCGCAGATGTTGAAATCCTTTCAGATTGATACATTATGCACTGAAGGGGCATTTTCTGTATGAATCATTGCTTTGTTTTTATATTTGCCCACATTTCCACAAGTACCCCATCACTTTATCCTCAAAAGAAAATTTCAGCAGATGGTGTATGTATGTCTGCTTTATATGGCAGACTGTATGGCTTTCCAACAGACAAAATTTTAAAATTATTCAAACATGCTCATATTTCTACTTCATTCTACTGTACACTTGTATCACTCTTGAGGTCCTGGTCCTACCCTTTGATCTGCACCCTCAACCACTCAATCACTAAGTTCAAAAAGGCACAATACTTGGTTTTCAGTACATAAAATTGTACCAAGATTTCATCAAAAAAAGATAATTTCAGAATATTATCAAATTATGAAAGCACCCGTCCATAACCTGCACTATATATACATTGTTGATAAAATTTCACAACTTCCTATGTATGATTGTCCTTAATATGTCCCAATATTTAAACCAAAATCAACATGGAATTCCAGTACTGTAATATAAAAAACAAAAAAAAAAAAGCCACACAAAAGACTTTTTACAGCACAATATAAAGGCCACCAGTAAATGATTTAAATTATTATTATAATATCCATTCTTATTTTGAATAGACACATTTTCATGCTGGTATCAGGCTGATATGCAAAAATAAGTACAACACTCAAAAATTTAACTTGGGACTTTCTAATCATTTAAGTACATATGATATAACAGATCACATTCAAATACATGTACTGACTTTTGTTGAGAACTTAAAAAGGATGTCACAACCAGTGATCCAAAATCAACCATAAATATACAATAAGATTTTAAAATAAAGCAATATTTCAGAGAAGAATCAAGAATCAAGTTAGTAAAATGTATAAAATATTCAGCAAGGATTATCATTATGTTTGCTTTTTACATTGTAGTACATCACTGTAACTGGGATTTTTTTGAGACAATGAAATTTAAGCACATTTTTAAAAAGTGTGACAATGAATTTGTGCAGAAATTCACCATAATTCCATTCTTAACCACAAAAATAGACTGCAATCACCAAAATCATGTTTCGGTGCAATATCTTAAATTGATTGTGAAAATTGCTTAAATATTTATATTTGCAGTATAATTAACACAAACATTTGATTGATAAGGAAAAAAAGTTATAATTTAAAACTAGTTTTTCGAGAGATTTTATACAAGACAACAATAACATGCGGACAGATAAATATGCAATATATATTTAAACATAAACTTGTAAACATAAAATCTGTAATGTAAAACAAAATATTTCAATGATTTAACTTAATACTCCAAAAAACAAGGACTTGTCATAGAAAATCTAGTCTCTACTGTTAAAATCACAACATTGAATTAAAACCACAAAGTAGTGAAAAAATCATTTAAGTTCACAAACATATTAAAGCAAATCTTCATGACCTGCTTTACATATGAACTGGAGTTCAGAAAAAATAAAAAGTATGGGGATACACTGGTGAAAAATGACGAGACATTATTATATAGAGAGGATGAAGCTAACACATAAAAATCATTTATATACTAATCATTATTACCAACAAAACACATCAAATTTTCCTTATTTCAGTAGAAGTACTGGGAACATAATCAGGTTTTAGAAAAACTTTTGACACAAATTCAAAATCAGATGAAAGACTAAAACATACTTGACCTAAAAACAGCCACAGATTCTATGATAATGATTGATATGTAACAGACATTGAGGAATCGGGTCCAATATTGTAACCTTGACTTTTGACATCTGGCATTTGGAAGCCATATCTGTATTATTATCGACAATACCTTTCAAATGAAAACTTACATTCATAGATCTGTAAAGTTTAAAGTTCATCAGATTATAGAGATGACACTTAAGACAAAAATTTACAACAGCCAAAGGAGACCTTGATCTAAAAAAATCCCAGAAAAAGAAACATTGCTAATACAGAGTCTGAAGTAGATGGTATACAATTGTGAAATATTACATAAGGAAATAATTCCAAGGTGTTTTTTCCTTTAACCTCTCATTTTAAACATCACAAGGTCATCGATCACCTTTACTTAATTCCTGCGGCCAAAATGAATACATTTGTGAAGTTACAAGATGATGTTGTCTGAAGTAGTAATGTCACTTGTACTACTGTATTGTATATAGAAGTACAGAAGTAGTAATGTCACTTGTCCTACTGTATTGTATATAGAAGTACAGAAGTAGTAATGTCACTTGTCCTACTGTATTGTATATAGAAGTACAGAAGTAGTAATGTCACTTGTACTACTGTATTGTATATAGAAGTACAGAAGTAGTAATGTCACTTGTCCTACTGTATTGTATATAGAAGTACAGAAGTAGTAATGTCACTTGTCCTACTGTATTGTATATACATTGTATATAGAAGTACAGAAGTAGTAATGTCACTTGTCCTACTGTATTGTATATACATTGTATATAGAAGTACAGAAGTAGTAATGTCACTTGTCCTACTGTATTGTATATACATTGTATATAGAAGTACAGAAGTAGTAATGTCACTTGTACTACTGTATTGTATATAGAAGTACAGAAGTAGTAATGTCACTTGTCCTACTGTATTGTATATAGAAGTACAGAAGTAGTAATGTCACTTGTCCTACTGTATTGTATATTCATTGTATATAGAAGTACAGAAGTAGTAATGTCACTTGTCCTACTGTATTGTATATACATTGTATATAGAAGTACAGAAGTAGTAATGTCACTTGTCCTACTGTATTGTATATACATTGTATATAGAAGTACAGAAGTAGTAATGTCACTTGTACTACTGTATTGTATATAGAAGTACAGAAGTAGTAATGTCACTTGTCCTACTGTATTGTATATACATTGTATATAGAAGTACAGAAGTAGTAATGTCACTTGTCCTACTGTATTGTATATACATTGTATATAGAAGTACAGAAGTAGTAATGTCACTTGACCTACTGTATTGTATATAGAAGTACAGAAGTAGTATTGTCACTTGACCTACTGTATTGTATATACATTGTATATAGAAGTACAGAAGTAGTAATGTCACTTGTACTACTGTATTGTATATAGAAGTACAGAAGTAGTAATGTCACTTGACCTACTGTATTGTATATAGAAGTACAGAAGTAGTATTGTCACTTGTACTACTGTATTGTATATACATTGTTTATTGAAATACTTATATTGCAAACAATAATGTAATGCTTCGAAAAAGAAAAACATTGCTATAAACTTCAATATTTACAATTATTTCGTTAATTATTTTTTGTCGTCTTTTTAGAAATCTTGTACTACATCAATATTTTTTATGTAAATATATATCAGTTTAAACTGAAAATATCTTTTTAATCATCCATTTCTATTTCATCAAAATAAATCTACACTAAAGAAATTCATCACAACATCAACATGCTCCAAAAACACTACATATTTGATATTATAATTATCACAGTATGATCATATTGACAGCAGTTTGCATGTAAGACATTATGTTTCAAGCATAATTCATGAAGAATTTTTAAAGTTTTTACAATGAAAATATAGGTACAAATGTATATAAATTTTATTTTTCTATATACATTAACTGAGCATAAAGGCTATAGGGGAAGTTTTAATTCACAACATCATGATGCAAGGCAAGAGCTGATCTCGATATATTCTGTACATTATAAGGCAAGAAAAAAAAATTCAATATGTAATTCAATTTCCAGAACTGTAAAGTTGCATGCCCCAAACATACATCTGAAAATCTACAGCAGGATTTGAAGGCTTATTATACTTTGTTGCTTTCTGATCTTTCCTCTGCAACATCCTCGTATCTTGGTGGAGCTGAATCAGGGTATTGTGCAAAGCTATGTTGATTGTCTGTAAAATATAACAGTAATGATGATATACTTTTGTATGTGCAAAGTTTCAGAAATCAATAGGGAAAAGTAAGAAATAATCTCCACCTTCAGTCAAAATTTGGAATCAAAACACAAAGATCCATAATTCAGAACGTAGTGGGATACAAGACCTGAATGTATGTGATATTTTGCTGTGTCGATAGGTTCTCAAATGAGAACTCAGAGGCAAATTATAGAACACAAATGTTCAAAAGCAATAATATCTTAATTTCTCACAAAACTGTACATCAATATCTAACCTGGTTTTAATTGTGAGTATATTAGTTACATTGTTTTCACTAACGTTTGCAATATTGCTTACCAAGTATTTAGTATCAGGTATTCTAAACATTTTGAAATGTGCATTACATTGCAATTTACACATGTTGGGTCTTTGGTTAGGAAGAAAAAACTCACATGTGGGCTGTCTGCAAATTAACAGAAAATTCTGTGGGAGTAGTCATTTAAAGGAACTTCAGTTCTAGATATCAAAAACAAGAAACAAGTAACTTCGTCGACTTGACTCTGCCTAAAAATTCTTTGAGTTTCTGTTATCGTTCAGTTCTTCATCATCATTTAATTACAGTATAGGAGGTTCACATCCAAACCCAAATCCTATCACCTACCTGGATTTTCTGAATACTCTGGGGGCTTCATTGGTTGTGGGGATGTATACTCAGGGATGAACGGGCGGGAAGCTGGTCCACAGTATCCATTTGTGTTAGTGTTGTAACTACTTGTTGGCGTGACTGTACACGAATCATTCTGTGATGGTTGGTAAAGAGCCACCATAGTCTCATCACTGTGGTGTGGTTGACTGATGACTAAACCACCTCTGCTGAAGTGGCCTTGCCTGGCTCTACGTCTTCGTTTAAGTATCAATGAGGCTAGCAGTACGACCATGATGATCGCACCGATCCCTCCCAGAAGTCTATACACGGCTGTTGGTAGTGGTTCTCCTTGGCCGTCATCTAATTCAAACAAATAACACAAGATGTACATTAGTGTACACTAGTCCTAGTAATTAAGAGTAATTGTAAAAAAGGTAAGCAGCAGGAAATAAAATACTAATTGATAAAATCACTATGATGGCTACACTTCCCCATATTTATATTATTCCAGAAAGGCTTGTCGTGGGGGGAGTGTAAAACAGGCCTGACAGCAGTTGGGTGCTAGAAAGGAACAAGGGAACACAATCTACAGTAACAATACATGTACCTTATACAAATACTACCATATGTCATTGTTTTTTCCAACCTCGATATATAATATTCATTTCAGCAGCGATAGACATGCATTAATATCACTGTGCCATCCAACCATCCAATACATATGGTGTTCTTACCTGACACATCATTAAAGCTAAGATCCAGAGAAAAATATCTTTTCAGAAATCACATAATGTCAGAATTAAAGATGATTTTTTTTCCAGAGATAGATTATTGATGACTTTGAGTTTAGCAACGTGTAAAATAAACAAACTCAGGGTGTAGTCCTATATACAAATATCATAAGAATTTCACCGAATTTATTATGAAATAAAGTTTTATAAGAGTTCTGTAGACAAAATAAAAAAAAAAAAAGAAAAAAAATCTTATAACTTCTTTTAGGTATACTCATATTGTATATACTGTGATGTACAACATTTCTGTCTTTGTGAGAGGAAAATACCACAGCAAACCTTATATGGAACATTTTTTTCATTCTATAATAAACTTTTTAAAAAAAATCTCTAGTAAAAAATAGTATTAAGTTCATAGCTTAAATGCAGATTTTTATTTACATGTATAATAAACAGTTTGGTAAAAAAAAAAGAAAAAAGAAAAAAAAGAAAAAATAACAGTTTGGTGTTTATCACCAACACAGTTGTAAAGAATGGACATTTGGGCCATGTCCCTCCTGTATCACTTACTTATCACTAACAGTTCTATGGAAGACTATATGTAAAAATGACAAGTTTTCATCCTATAAGAATGTTTAACAAAATATTCCAAGAAACAAGTGCTGGATATACGTAAATAAATGTTTCTGAAAATATGGGAGTGTGATAGCATGCTTGGTTTGAGGTCACTTTTGCTATATATTCTGGATGGAACTGTGTATACTTACAGTTTCTTGTTGAGAAGGATGTCTGTGATATCTTTAGATACACATGTGATTTTGACTTTGTATATGTGAAAAACCGCAAGTTCAGAATGCCATGTTCATTAGCACAGTACGAGACATTTTCCTTTATTTCATTGGCTCTGAAGAGCTGCAATGAGAAAATATAGGAAGTCAGACATATAAAAATAGGAGATACTACAGAGGTATTATTGATATAAGCAATAAGTTAAAATATCTTCATGTTTTGAGACAGATGTTTGCACGGGGATCAAGAATTCACCCCCCCCCCCACCCCCCCAATGCCTTCTGTTTTTTAAACACACTGAAAATGTATATGATATAAACATAATGAATTAACAAGTCTTTCACATACCTTTCTATTGCTGTGGCCTACTCCGGATTCAATGGTGAGGATGAAGTGTTTGTCTGTTATGTCCCACACTTCTGCCCTGACACACAGACTGTTGTTATTGACGTTGCTGGAAGTGTCCGAGTATATAGCAACGTAGATGGTACAATCGTCTTCCAGAGCAGCTCCTCTCCAATGGATGTTCATAGTTCTAGTGTCAAGACTCAAGAAGGTGCCGCAGTTATCGCCAGTTATTGTGAAGGAATCTTTATTTCAAAGAAAAATATAATTACTTTATATTAAGGTGATGTTATTTGTAAACCTATGTAATATAATATCACTAGAAGTGATTTACTTACTTATTTATTTTTCATCCACAATTGTTAATTCCAAATTATAAAGTAGGAGATGCAATAAGACTTAAAGTTAAATAAAAGCCATAATATATATAACTAGTTTTCATTTCTTACATTCATCATAAAACGTTTGGGATAATAAATTTAATTACTTTTACTTTTAAAGGGCAACTGATTGGTCATAAAATCAACACAAGTGATAGCGGTGTATAAAATCAATCGACTTTTCTTTTTCCAATTCAAGTTTTTAATTCATCATGACCAGACTCAAAGGCATGTATCATACATGTACCATCACTTGTCCAGGCCAGAGGAATAAGAACCATAGAAACGATGGCCCAAAGGTTTCGTCCAATGGAAATCCAGTGTGTATAGTAGGTCTTCATGTTGATTGGTTAACTTATGTCTGGTACTGACTTCCTCTGAAAATTTATCAAAGCTTTCTGTAAACAAGATACAACAGTATTACAAAATACAAATGTGTTATTGTAAACATCCCCAATACCTGTATGTAGGACTGATTGTGACACTACTCAAACTAGACCTACCGGTATTCACTATAGGTAAGAGCCATAGACATCTATATCATTGTAAACATCCCCAATACCTGTGTTTAGGACTGATAGTGAAAATACTCAAACGAGACCTATTCACTATAGGTACAAGCCATAGACATCTATATCATTGTAAACATTCCCAAAACCTGTGTTTAGGACTGATTGTGTAACTACTCAAACGAGACCTATTCACTATTGGTATGAGTCATAGACATCTATATCATTGTAAACATCCCCAATACCTGTGTGTAGGACTGATTGTGAAACTACTCAAACGAGACCTATTCACTATAGGTATGAGTCATAGACATCTATATCATTGTAAACATCCCCAATACCTGTGTGTAGGACTGATTGTGTAACTACTCAAACGAGACCTATTCACTATAGGTACAAGCCATAGACATCTATATCATTGTAAACATTTTCAAAACCTGTGTGTAGGACTGATTGTGTAACTACTCAAACGAGACCTATTCACTATAGGTACAAGCCATAGACATCTATATCATTGTAAACATTTTCAAAACCTGTGTGTAGGACTGATTGTGTAACTACTCAAATGAGACCTATTCACTATAGGTACAAGCCATAGACATCTATATCATTGTAAACATTTTCAAAACCTGTGTGTAGGACTGATTGTGTAACTACTCAAACGAGACCTATTCACTATAGGTACAAGCCATAGACATCTATATCATTGTAAACATTCCCAAAACCTGTGTGTAGGACTGATTGTGTAACTACTCAAACGAGACCTATTCACTATAGGTTTGAGTCATAGACATCTATATCACTGTAAACATCCCCAAAACCTGTGTGTAGGACTGATTGTGTAACTACTCAAACGAGACCTATTCACTATAGGTACAAGCCATAGACATCTATATCATTGTAAACATTTTCAAAACCTGTGTGTAGGACTGATTGTGTAACTACTCAAACGAGACCTATTCACTATAGGTACAAGCCATAGACATCTATATCATTTAAACATTCCCAAAACCTGTGTGTAGGACTGATTGTGTAACTACTCAAACGAGACCTATTCACTATAGGTACGAGTCATAGACATCTATAATGATATTTCATAATGGACTGGATTTTTGCTTGAGTTGTTGTTTACATTCCAAATACAGGTGTCTGAGTATGACTTCACTAAGTCCTCATATATAAACAATTATTATCTGATCACCCCAGAAACGGAAAAGGTAGATGAGAGAATAACAATTACTGAAGCTCATTTTCCATTTCAATATTCTCTGGTAAATATATATGTTTCATAATGATCTCACTAAATGTAGGTTTTCATTAATCCGATAACATGACAAGTACGTCACATCAGACAAGAAAACCTTGAGTCCTCAAATTAATCTTAAGTTGAGGTAATGAATTCATAGTAATCCTGACCTCTCACCATTATCCCGGTAAAGCTACATGAATGATGCAGCAACAGCAATGTTAATAGCCCCAAAGACAGGTCATTGTTAGGTGCTATCTTCAGATATTTGCTTTCTGAACAATCTATAGTGTAATTATGAAAGGAATGCAATGCTTTCTTGTCAGACTGTGAATCGTAAAGCATTTATCTGCATTAAGCTTCCTAATCTCTTGTAACATGTTCAGGTCTTGCTCTAGTGCTAGACTCTCATCAATCAACTTACTTACACAGTAGCAAAAGTAAAGACTCAGTGAGATTGTTAGAATAACAGGCCGAGCATTGTGCCCGCATGAGAAACTCTGGAATTAGCTGATGAGGTTTTGATTTGCTTCCAAATTTTACTGGGGAAACTCATTCTAATGTGTTGCCTACCAGGTATTAGTATCATCCATGAAATACACATATCTCATGGTGCATTGTAAAAGAATAATAGTACATGTGGTTTCAAAGTTTTATAATAATATACTGAAAAAGGAATAATCAGCATGTCATGTGCAGATGTGGCACAAGAAAAGAAGAAAGGGCCAAAGTTGAGGTAATCATGTTTAATAAGCCTGTGATGTCTGAGTGGGGCTCATTAGGAATGGAGACATGCATAAAAGTGGAAAAAGAGTTGCCTTCCTTTCCGTTTTTATGTTTCCCAAGATAATTATGGACCTTAATCCCAAAACAGTAATTCTATGAAATTCTAAAATAAACCTTTAACCAGAAACAGAATTTCTATAGTCATTGATAGTATAAACCTGAACCATCCTTATTCAAGACACAGTATTAATATGAAACATTGTAAACCATTGAACCAATGTACTGAATGTCTAGAATATTCTAGTCTACACTAATTTTAAATTTATCTAATTGTAAATGGAGTTTTCATGCTGTTTTATTGAATAGATTTACTTAATCAACTTCATAACTTGATAACAACATACAACCAACATTAGAAATGTTTTGAATAAAAAAGATAAATTCACAAGCATATGAATGTTGAAACCACAAAAGAATATGATCATGCACTCACAGGAGAGCATGACTTGGTGTAATCTTTGCATCTTATATATAGTATACGAAAAGCTGACAATATGGAAAATAAAATGCAACATGACCGGTACTTGAGGGCAAGTCATACAAGAAGCACATAGGGCCAGTTTTATTTACCTGGCTTTAGCTGAAATTGCTTAATTCAAACTAAAGGAAACAGAATTCTTATGGTTTATTTTCCCACTTGTCCTAACCCCTCTGCCCCATGAGGGTCAGAATAACCCTTCATGCTCATGTCTCCTTTACCCATAAAACTTCAGGCCTAACTGGGTCTGACAGAACACAGGCATGTAAAAGAAGGATTTTAAAGAATTTGCTCTATTTCCCTTTTGGTCCCCACCAGTGATTTCACCTATTCCATGGACAAAGACAAACTGCTGCATCCTCTTCATCCAAGGGTGCTTCAAACCAAATGAGGACAGAATCCCCACATTCAAACAGAAAAGAAGTTGGATATTAAAGAATGAGCTCTATTTCCTTTCTCCATATCCCAGCAGACTGCAACTCACTGTATACTTGGTATACAAAATTGATTCCCTTCCACTCAGAGTAAACCAGGACAGAATCCAGGCATTCCTTCTGAAGAAGAAAGATTTTGCATGCCATTTCCCCTATTGGACCCCATCCCCTCTCGCCCATGTGAACTGAGGACCAACCATTTATACTAAATTCAATCCCCTTCACCGAAAGATGTTCCGGACCAAATTTGGACAAAATATATTATATCTTACAGAGGAAATGGATTTCAAAAATTGCACAGTTGGGCTTGAACCCTTTTGGCCCACAGGGGCCAAGACCCATCATTTATACAAAATTTGCTCCCCTTCTCCCCATTGTGAATTGTCGCAGTAGGAACATAAGCATCAGTTCATAAATTGGTCCGACCATGGCCATCGATCTTTATCGAACACGGTTCTTAAATAGGAACTAAAAAGTTAGTTGACTTCTGAAATATGCGCGCGCGCGCGCGCGCGCGCGCGCGCGCGCGCGCGCGCGCGCGCGCGCGCGCGCGCGCGCGCGCGCGCGCGCGCGCGCGCGCGCGCGCGCGCGCGCGCGCGCGCGCGCGCGCGCGCGCGCGCGCGCGCGCGCGCGCGCGCGCGCATTTCAATGTAAAGGATCAAGAGGACATGGAATCATTGACAAAATTGTTCAAAATACTTACACAATACATTCCGGTTGATTAGAAACTTGCCGACATGCACGAGGGCGTTTGCCCTTTATCTGATGATAATATGGTCACCGAGTTGGTAGTGAACAGCTTTAGGCTTCTTGATCTGTCAATGATAATAACTGGATGTTTTTAAACTATACTGTGTCGACTATATCAACTGGATTAAAGTAGCACAGTGCAATATTTCACCTCTAGCTGACTTTTAAGTATACTGCGTCGACAATATCAACCGGACTGGTGTAGTACAGTGCAATATTTCAAGTGAAATAATGGTCAACGTTTTCAATTTCTAATAATACAGTTTCCTTCCATAGTAACTTTGCTCCGTTTAAAATGTTACAAGTTTCAACCGGAAATGACATCATGCTAGTAATACCCGGTGTGGATTGAAGGGACTTCCAATATTCCGGAAATTAGTGTTTTGTTATAAGAAAAGGAAACTTTATTGGCAAATCGGACCGAAATGGATATAAATAATGCTAACAAATAACTTTTTTATCAAACCTGACAACAAAAGAAATACGTGCACCTAGTTCCCCAATATTTAGTTCCCGCTACTGTAAAGTGCGTCTTAATGTCAATATTCACATTTATTACGCTGTTATTGATATTTAAATTTTCATATGCATAATCAGTAAAGATGTAAACAACAATAACAGAATAATGAATATGAATAATATTTATGTTGTGATCTGTTTCCAAGGTTTAAAGTGCCATATTGTGCTGGAATCACGAGATAAAAATCTCATTTGTTTTGATCCAGCAGTTTCCTCATCATTTTTTCATTAGTGTATATAAATATCAACAAATCAATGCATGTAATTCCCCAGATGTATGGGTTTAACTCATATTAATAGATAATACACTTGTGCTATGTTAAGTCTTAACACACACATGACCCCTAGATAGGGTTTAATTGATTTGGTATAATCTACACACACAGCCGGGATATTTAGTTATTTTATACACTAGAACACACATGTACTACTCAAGTGTATAGCAAATGACAAGTAAGACTATGTTGTAATAGGGTTTAGTACAGGATCTCGTCAAGTATGGGTAGTTTAGAATTAAACGTTTCATACTCATACATGTATAACAATAACCTTTTGTGATATTGTTGAATACTGAAACCTCCTGCAATGGACCCGACCAAAGATCTAGACGGAAGTGTGGGACATTGTGTCGTTTAGTATCGAATAGTGGCGAGATCGAAGTGTGGGACATTGTGTCGTTTAGTATCGAATAGTGGCGAGATCGAAGTGCGGGACATTGTGTCGTTTAGTATCGAATAGTGACGAGGTCGAAGTGCGGGACATTGTGTCGTTTAGTATCGAATAGTGACGAGATTGTGTCGTTTAGTGTCGAATAGTGACGAGGTCGAAGTGCGGGACATTGTGTCGTTTAGTATCGAATAGTGGCGAGATCGAAGTGCGGGACATTGTGTCGTTTAGTGTCGAATAGTGGCGAGATCGAAGTGCGGGACATTGTGTCGTTTAGTATCGAATAGTGACGAGGTCGAAGTGCGGGACATTGTGTCGTTTAGTGTCGAATAGTGGCATGATAAACAACAAACACAAAATAAAGTTAGCATTTTTATTTTGAGTAGAGCATATACATGTGCTCCGTCACCAGACACAGTACTAGTTTGTTTGTTTAAAGGAGAAAAAGATTAGTTATTGTATTTGTATGAACTTATAGCAGGTTTAAAAGAGAAGAGCGTATTCATTCATTTATCTATATATCTATTTATTTAACAGGGTCACGTCTACTATCACGGCCTTTCAGCGAACGCGAAAATATAGGAAAATAAGCAGAGAGGAAAATGTATGAGATGAGGATGAGGTAGAGAAGGGCCGTCTATGCTACGAAATCTGTTTTTTTATTATAAGTTTGAAGACGACCTCCTTTGCCTGATCAGAGATGTATGTAACACAATTCTAACCTTACTCTAACTAAGCACGTCGAAGTGTCATGAGGGTCTGACATTCCCTCTTAGACTTGATGAAAGTGTCATTAGGGTCTGAAATTCCCGGTTAGACTTGATAAAAGTGTCATGAGGGTCTGACAGCCGGGATAAGACTTGATGAAAGTGTCGTGAGGGTCTGACATTCCCGGTTAGACTTGATGAAAGTGTCGTGAGGGTCTGACATTCCCGGTTAGACTTGATGAAAGTGTCGTGAGGGTCTGACATTCCCGGTTAGACTTGATGAAAGTGTCGCGAGGGTCTGACATTCCCGGTTAGACTTGATGACAGTGTCGTGAGGGTCTGACAGGCGGGATAAGACTTGATGACAGTGTGGTGAGGGTCTGACAGTCAGGGAAAAACTTGATGACAATGTCGTGAGGGTCTGACAGCCATGGAAAGACTTGATGACAGTGTGGTGAGGGTCTGACAGCCATGGAAAGACTTGATGACAGTATCATGAGGGTCTGACAGTCAGGGAAAGAATTGATGACAGTGTCGTGAGGGGCTGACAGCCGGGGAAAGACTTGATGACAATGTCGTGATGGACTGACAGCCAGGGAAAGACTTGATGAAGGTGTCGTGAGGGTCTGACAGCCAGGGAAAGACTTAATGAAGGTGTCGTGAGGGTCTGACAGTCAGGGAAAGACTTGATGAAGGTGTCGTGAGGGTCTGACATCCAAGGAAAGACTTGATGACAGTGTCGTGAGGGTCTGACAACCAGGGAAAGATTTGATGACAGTGTCGTGAGGGTCTGACAGCCAAGGAAAGACTTGATGACAGTGTCGTGAGGGTCTGACAGCCGGGAAAAGATTTGATGACGGTGTCGTTAAGGTCTGACAGTCAGGGAAAGACTTGATGACAGTGTCGTGGGGGTCTGACAGTCAGGGAAAGACTTGATGACAGTGTCGTGATGGTCTGACAGTCAGGGTAAGACTTCATGAAGATGTCGTGAGGGTTTGACAGCCAAGGAAAGACTTGATGACAGTGTCGTGAGGGTCTGACAGCCGGAGTAATACTTGATGACAGTGTCGTTAGGTTCTGATATTCAGGGAAATACTTAATGATAGTGTCATGAGGGTCTGACAGCCGGGAAAAGACTTGATGACGGTGTCGTGAATGTCTGACAGTCAGGGAAAGACTTGATGACAGTGTCGTGGGAGTCTGACAGTCAGGGAAAGACTTGATGACAGTGTCGTGATGGTCTTACAGTCAGGGTTAAGTTTGATGACAGTGTCGTGATGGTCTGACAGTCAGGGTTAGACTTGATGACAGTGTCGTGATGGTCTGACAGTCAGGGTTAGATTTGATGACAGTGTCGTGATGGTCTGACAGTCAGGGTTAGACTTGATGACAGTGTCGTGAGGGTCTGACAGCCTGGATAAGACTAGATGACAGTGTCGTGAGGGTCTGACAGCCGGGATAATACATGATGACAGTGACATGAGGGTCTGACAGCCGGGATAATACATGATGACAGTGTCATGAGGGTCTGACAGCCGGGATAATATTTGATGACAGTGTCGTAAGGATCTGACAGCCGGGATAAGACTTGATGACAGTGACATGGGGGTCTAACAATAAATTCCCGTTACATCATGGCAACACATACAAATAGTCGCCAGGTAATATACAGAAATTCAGATGAAACAATGCAACGATGGTTTAATTTATTTTATTTTTGTTTTACGTCTGATCAACAACCAGAGTGATTAAAGGACAGTCAAGGTTTGGATGGCGGAAGAAAGCCGAACTTCCCATAAAACACCCACCGGTCTGCGCCAGTGCCTGGCGACTACTCGACGTGAGCCTTGTTGATCAGTACAGGACACTTCTAGGACGAAATAGTTGTTTGTCATTGGGATCCATGGTGCAAATACTCATCGGGTTTGATTCCCCTAGCAGACGTGAAAATGTGTATGTGGTTACCAGCCCGACCCTGAGTACTCCCATTTCTATAAGCAGACCCTTTACGTGCCGACAATGGTGATTCATACAATTTGAAATATATATTTTCATAATTGTATAAAAATAGTTTAGTTCCCGCATGGTATGGTAGTTATGCTGAATCGTGTCAAACAACCAAGTATGTTCAACGGATACTCGGTTATCATTTAGCTTTAAAAATATTCCATAAAACAGCGCTTGCAATGTACTTTCACGAAAATCCTCAATGTTAGACTGACTACAAGACCTCAATGGACTCATTTGACAGGAAATACTAGACAAAGGATAAATATTGATTAAAAAGTTACCACGGTACCTATTGGGAATTTCAAACCTCTTGGTACTTGGTTCAATCCAGGTTCGGTATCAATATTAAAATTTCAAGACTTTGAACAAAACACGAGCGGAAGCCAGTTCTCTAGCTTCAGCAACTTCGACGATGATCGAACAAAAACAGAGCCCTGTATATACACAGGTATACAGGTTACAACAACGATACTATCGATCATAAACACATCGACGGTAACAGACTGTTCCCAAAGATCCTGTTGAAAATCAAAGACAAAATCTTAGATTTAAGAAATTGTACTTACATGAAAGATTGAAAGAGACAGGATATGCTAGTATTAGAATTATATACAAATATACGAAACTGTGGAAATAGAAAGTGAAAGTAGGAGAAACTGTTTCGGATTAATGTTATTCTTACCACTTGAAAATATCGACAAACTTGTGGTTTGTATGGAATGTTATCATTTTTTACTCTAAATAGTTACATATTTAGATTTTAGATACTTAAACAAAATACCAAACAAAATGAATCAATCATATACATGTAGAGTATATATAGCGACACTCGTATTTTTCCTTTTGAATATGTAACGTAGGAAATGTAGTCTACAGACCGGATAAAACATTGATGGGAAATGAGATCAATCAATCCATAATTTAGAAAGAACTTTTTTCGAGGATTTCAGATCAGAGACTAATGTAAATGTGGTTACAATGTACTCGCATGACCTTTTCAGGCCCTTAGCATCCCTGGCGAGTCATAGAAGGACGAAACAGCTGTATGATGTACCATCCCTGACGAGTCATAGAAGGACGAAACAACTGTATGATGTTTTTTAATTGGTTTTTAACTCTATTGTATCCCGTTATAGATTTGTTCAAACCTTTGTCAAAAAGACTATCACCCAATTTAAATTTCAAACAATTTTATTGAAATATAGATACAGATATGGCAAAGACAAGACAAGACAGAATGCATTACCGTACAACATAGTCTTAAGAGGATGATAATAATGATGCAATATAATACAAGGGAAGTAACTCCTATCTACCTGAATTTTTTTATTTTGTTTATTTGATAACATTTAGAAACAGAAAGTTATTGGGTTAAAATTTTG